AAAACTAATTTATTGGATTCAAAAAAAAAAAAACTATTTGTCAATAAAAACAACCGAGCTACAGTATCGCCAGAGCCGGATCTACCAACGAACAAACTGTCACCGTTGCTTTTTCCCAGAGTTTTAAATCAATTTAAAAAAAACTTATTAAGATCTTCACTGTCACAAAACAATCTGCAAAGTCTTGGAATTTTTTCGAGCATCCAGACTGAACTTGCCAAACCGTATAATGTTATCCGAATTGTTGCAAATGAAAAAAGAGTTATGTATGGATGAAGAGGATAAACCAAGTTGACCGTTGGCAACGATAACAGTTACTGATTTTATAATAAATATATAAACATACATAAATGTATATTTACCTATAAGTTTATCATTGCTTAGACCGATTAAACATGTTCAATTTGACATGTATTGAATATTATTTTTATTCATAAATAAAATTATGCTACATGATATTTTTAATTTATAGTAATGTGTAGTTCACACCCTTTCCCCCAACATTGGAAACGTCTTCAACGCAAGAACCATATTAATTATTTGGTAATCAATTAGACCCATCCGAATCATGCGTTTACGGCCCCCAAAGTACTTATCTCTGTCACACCATATCATGTAAGTCGCCACTACAACTCTAGGTAACCATTTACTATATTTGTGCTCCATAAAAACCTTAAAGCTGGTGACCATTACAGAAATCCTAAAGCATAAGCCGCAAGTCGAACGATATAAAGTCAAGTTTTCTTGTCTGTGGACATGCCACAGAGGTTAAGGAAGGCGGAAATCATAGTACTGGCCGTGTATGAGGATCTACCTCAGCAAAAAAAAAAAAAAAATACTAAAAACAAATTTACATTCAAACAAACATAGACGGTCGCGTGTTTAAACTTAAGCCACAAGTTGGCGTCTTGTGGTAAAACAAAATCGGTAACAATGTTATGAAATTGTTTATTGTTGCATAATATTTTTAGATTTCCATAGAAAAACAAACAAATCTTCCTGTTTATAATACTTTGGCACATCTACCATAAATACACATATAACGCACGCGTACGGCTTAATTTTGCATTCAATCGGGTCTACCCAAGTGTTTACATCAGCTAAATAAGTAGTTTGGCATTTCATAGGTCATCTATAATAATTATTACAAATATATATATATATATAAATGTTTATCTACAACACACATTGTCAAAATTATTTAACGTAAAATAATTCCGGATAACATACGCAATGTTTAATAGAAAATCTAGATCATAAGTACTGATTAAGCGTGTTACTCCATTTTTCATTATAAGTTCAAATTTAATATGTTTTAATCCCGACTGTAAAATTTAATGACATAGCATGAAAAATGCTTAGAAAAAAAAAAACACCAAAAAGCGTCTGGGAGGAGTAATTTTTTTTTTTTTTTGGAATTTGATGAGTCTTAAAAATGCCAAGTGCATGTTGTGAAATACTATGCGTACCTACCTGAATTCTGTTTTTTTTTCCTACAGGTGTGACTGCCGGTAGTACCTATAACCACACTTGAAGTCGTCCCCATATACAGATTCGTGTAATAGGAATACAATGATAAGTGTTAGTGTTACCATTTTGCTGACGAACAAGATAGATTACGTGATACGTTTACAATGCGCCATCATTCAGAGCTATAGCGATTACGAGAGCACAATATATTGTTATGATAAATAGCCAGACAACATGTTTTTTTTACATTTGACATTTACCAGCAATTTTTGATTGATATCAATCGCGCGGAAAATACAAATACTTCAAATATCAAAAAAACAAAAAAGAAGCAAAATAACATAACACAATATACCTATCCGTTTCATTAGATTTTCATCTTTGTTTACAGAATATGATATTTCATATATATTTTGTTGACACGAAATAATAATAATTATTGTCGTTCGACAAGAAAATCGGATAGTTTAAAATTTCCCTTAATTTTCAAAAATAAATACTATAGGCCAAACTTTTGTTCGAGTAATATCATATTTTTGAAAGGCACGACGAAGAAAAATGTTACATCATACGGTTGTTTTTTGTGTAGACAAATAAATGTTTCAACAATTTGTTCTCTTAGCCATTAATAATACACATACATAATATAGGTGGAGCACATAAGACATCATAGCCAAGCTGCATATCTACAAACGTTTTACCGGCTAAGACGCTGAAAGTTATGCAAGTATAACTGTAAGTAATTAATCATCATAACCAAGTTATTTTGCATTATAATGCATTCATACCGTCCAGGCCCATATTTGTATTCGACTTAATTGTATTGCTGCAGAATGTAATAATAGTAGTCCACAATCGAGTGTGTTGTCCTGTAGAACGAGTTCCTATCCCCTATCTAACGATGTTTGACAATCCACACACACACACACACTTAAACGTCGATTGTTTATTAATGGTTTTAAGTGTGTGTGTACAGCGAGTGTATATTATGTATATTATATTATTACTATTATTTCGCAAACCTTAAGTAGCCACCATACTACACACTAAACAGTGGCAGTGCGCGCATATAGGTAATATTACACTTGTAGCACTTCGTACAAAGAAAATCTATGCTATGTTATTGGTTGACCAAATGACAATGCCGAAAATGTATATTATGTATATTCGATTTTTTTCCAGCGTTCGAACCGTTTCCTTTCTCTATTTCATAAGTATTAGCGTACATTTTAGCCCCAAGAAGACATGCTAATTTAACTAGAGTAGAATACCTACTATAAATAACAGGACACACAAACCTGTAATTTTAAGCGCAAAACTAGTAATATTTTACGAATGTCAACACAGTCATAAACCTTTCATGGATTCAAATATCATGTGGATAATTTTCAGACGTATCCGTGTCTTTAGATTTGGCGCTGAAGTCTCGGACTAGTTACATAATTAGTGATTTTGTTAAACCCCCCTTGTTATGTTTGTAGTATCTAGTATGCGGTCAGGAGCTATTTTTTTGATATCTCTACAGTTTCATTTTTAATAGATTTCAAGAAAAATCCACTTAATTTTTTTGAATTATTTCGATAAAAAACATATTAACCCTTGTGTTAAGAGGGCGTCGCACCGCCCATTTTTAAGGAGTAAAATAAGGCAATTTTTTACAAAATCTTAATTTAAAGGTTAAACTGTGATGTGTAATTATTAGTTCAATAACTAGGACTCTATTTTGGAGGTTAATTTATTTTTTGGACTATCACAGCATCCTTGAAAGCGATTTAAAAATGTTTTTTCATCTCTACTTGTTTAAGCAGACTGAAAATAACTCGCTTAATTTTGGTTTTAGCGTAAAAGCACCCATTATAAAATTTAAAGAGAACAATATTTTGCAGGGCAAGACGGTGCGTTTTTTTCGTTATTCTAAGTATAACGCTCAATACATAGTTTAGAAATAATGACTATTTTAACATTTTTAAAGGCCTGTAACTTTTCAAAAAATGAATTTTTTTTTTTAAAGCACCGTCTTGCCCTCCGGAATATTGTTCTCTTTTAATTTTATAATGGGTGCTTTTACTCTAAAATCAGAATTAGGCGAGTTATTTTTAGCCTGCTTAAACATGTTTTTACCACTGAAAATCACCGGCGCGACGCCCTCTTAAGACAAAAAACTTAAATGCATGTAGAACAATATTGTTTGCTTTTTAATACTTAGACTTGTATTCATTTTTTTTTAGTATATGTATGTAGTCATTACAGGCAAAATTGGCCGGTTTAAAACTGACGAACAGAGATTTAGAAATAAATCAATTATTTTGTAAATAGAAGTTATAACAGGCTGGTAAAATACACGAAAAACAATATGAATAATAACTCATTATGCCACAGGACAACGAACCTCTCATTAAGTAGGGGGCGTGTCGCTTATATATAAATAGTACCTATATTTTTAATACACTATTTTTCTATCATTTTATTCTACAAAAAAACTTACAGTTTTGCAATTAACTCAAAACCCCAGTAATTGGGATAAAAAAAATAAGAATTCCAATTTCGTTGCCAATTCGGACAAGGTTAAACAGATATATCACATAAGTTATGACAATTTAACGAATTGATGTAATTTATATTGTCCTATTTAGAAGGTAAGTAGTTTACAAGCTTTATTAGATATTACACAATATTTGTATACTTAAATTTCCATATTAATATGTAAATTATTACTAAATGTAATACAATAAACGGCGGTAAAAATTGAACATTCTAACCAATTGATATTATAATTGATTTCAAAAAAAACATTTTCTTACATCCTAAACAATGCTAGTAGTTTGAATAATAAAAATGAGCATCGGAAAAAACATTGCAATTATAGTTATCATTATAAAAGTACTTAGTTATGGAAAGAGTGATAATCTAGAGAAATGTGTCAAAATCAAAACTCGTCAGATTTTTTAAGTAAAATGTTTATTTTTATATATTAAATGTTTGAATAAATAAATACTCTTAAAATAACAAACTACCATAAGTTCTCTAATGAAATGCATATTAATAAAGTATAACTTAGCTTAATTGATCCGGTCAAAAGCAAAGCGGTGTAAGTCAATTTATTTGAAATTTATGAAATTGGAAATCACAAAATTAAAAAAATTTTGACTTCCACCACTTTGCTTTTGAAGAGCTAAATTGTTGCAATTTACCTACACGATTTTTATGAATAAATGTTTTAAATATTACCAAAAAATTTTTTTTTTTTGTGTCTTCACACAATATTTGTATAATATAAAGAATATAACAAGACATTTGGGAAAACAAATTTTCAGTAAATTGATTAAATCTACACTACTGGCGATAATAACACAATATAATATGCACTCTACAATACAGATTAATGGGGTATGATTGTTCTATTTTTTCAAAAACTATTTTTTACAGAATATTATACAGAAACCGATAAACCATATTATTATTATGTACACTCAGTCGAGGTTATTTTGTGTTATTATCCTATCTGCTAGCTGACAAACTTTTCGACTTACCGTTCTCTTCGACGAGCAACTTTGCTTATTGTTATTATTCCTTTTGTGTGACACCGGACGTTATTTCTGCTGTAAACCGTGTTCACAATACGATTATCTCGGAATTATGTTTGAAACGTTTAAACAGTGTAAAAACCCTTATTTTTTCGCACACACGTACAACTCGAGCAATACGACTATTTCTTGGAAAATTCGATCGACCGTTCGACAGAGCACACCAGACCAATGCTAAGATTCAACTAAAGGCGCCAAAAAACGTTGTACGGCCGTGTGTCATGTGTCGTCTGCACTGCACTCCGATAGGTGTCGCCAGCGTACCGTGTGTACAACAGCTCGCGGCTGGCAACACTGTCCGGCGGCGGTGGCCATCGTTGCGGTTGGCGACACTGTGCGCCGTCGGCGTGTTTATCTGAATCGCCGTGTTGATTACGATCGCCACTCCGCAACGCGACGATAAGTCGAGTTCGATAACGATTGATGAGAAAATGTATTGGTAGCTACTTAAAAATTAATACTTTCTGCAGACTTGCTGTGTGTGTTTTATTTTTGAAATTTCCGTTTCGGGTTAAACTCGACATGAATTCGTAACGACACGTTCCGCTTGCCGTTTCCAATCCGACGTTAAAAGTAAACGCATTTCGTCGTTGGTCGGAAATAGCGCCAAAAACCGTGTTGTTTACCGTAATGGCTTGATTAGATTTCCACCAAGCCGTTCAGTAATATGGTAATATTTAATTTACTCAATTATCCGATAAATCACTGTGTGACACTATCGAATCTGCTGGCAGTCACCATTCATTGTACCATTTAGTTCCGCTTGATATTTGTCTGTGTTCGGATGTTACATAACTAAGCTCTCTCTCTCGATCGATCGCCAACGTTAAACAAACTCAAAACAACAATAACGTTTGACTTTTTACTTATCTATTTAATGATAAATAAGTAAAATTCAACATTGACGACGCCATGATCAGTAATTGTTTGTTTGAGAGAAATTGGAATTTTATTACGGTATCTCATTAAGTGTACCTAATTGATATTTATACAACAGAAAATAATGACATCGTTGTTTGTAATAATTACCATTATACTTGTAATGTCGTATTATTTTATGAATAAGGCGTTTTCCCTTAAATATTCTGGTTTATATATTTTATCATTGCAATTTCATTAGGATCCAATTTTTTATGTTAATTATGATTTTTGTTTTTTTTTTTTAAATATAGGGCGGTAATGTATCTCAGCTCGAAAGAGATATCGGATCGGATCAATTTCCTCCCAATGAACATTACTTCGGATTAGTCAATGTAAGTCAAATATTTTATTTAGTAAGAAAGAGCTATAATTTATTAAAGTGAAAGGCTACTGTATCTATTAATTACCATCATTGTTGCAAGTTTTACAAGTTCTTTATTTTACGTACAGAATTGTTTTTGTTCAGTTATGTTTATACTTAAGGGGCAGCTTGAGTAAATGTTTTTTTTTACAAAAAAAAATTAATTTCATTTGATTTTTGTAACTATTTATTGTAAGGACCTCTTTACAAAATAAGGCCAGAGACTTGATAGACTCGAGAGAAACATGATGTTTCTCTCTGTAGTCGGAATAGTCCAAATTTTTGAATAGCTGTTCCAAAACCTTTGAATTCCAATCGGAACATTAAGTTGTCCTACTTTGAAAAAATAAATACAGAGTAATATACTGTTGGCATTCTCTTAAAAACGCTAGGCCTAGTAGTCCATATCAATGGTTTATCTTTAATTAAATAAAAAGGAGGGGAAATAGTGTCATATAGTGCTATTAAATAATAAATTTAATCATTTCACAAATAATTAGTCATTCAATTCAAATAGAGTAGATAACAACGAAATTACATGTTTTATATTATATTGTATGTAAGAAAAAAATTTACTAGAGTCTAAATCTAATGTTTTTAAGTAGCATAATAACAATATTTAAAGAGATAAAGCTATCGAAATTGTGTTACTTATAATATGTTTGTTGCTTGCTCCAGTGTAATACTTATGACTAATTACAGAGTTAATGTAGAACCAGATATTTTTAATGAAAATTGACTAAATGTTATTAACATGCATTTCAGAATAGAGTAAATCGATTTGATAAAGTTTTGGATTAAATAAAAGTCGTTCTATTTAAGTTAATAAGAGTAACATTTCAATTAAACTGGTAAGCAGTAGTGATGAGAATTTTTAAATCCGGATTTTTACAACAACAAAAAACAACACTATTTTAGCTATTTAAATATCTTATAAATACTGAATGTTTATACAATATAAAGCTGTACATCTAAGTAAAATGTTTTTTTTTTTTAAAATACACAAAACCAAAAAGATAAATTGTTATTAGATTTGTTAAGTACCCCAATAGCAATTTATCGTCAAAGTTAAGCGTTTTTTTTTTTTAATTGTATCAAAAACATTTTACTTAAATACAGAGCTCAAATACAATCTCAACTTACACCGATAATTCAGGTATTACCCGAGTACCCGTTACGGCACAATTAATAAAGTAAACAAATTATTAAATTATAGCACAAAATGCCAAAAATTACATTGATTTTTTTTTGTATATTATTAAAAATGTTGTATTTTTTGTTTTTTCAGTTTGGAAATACTTGTTATAGTAATTCTGTCCTTCAAGCTCTTTATTTTTGTAAACCATTTCGTGACAAAGTACTCGAGTATAAAGCTCGCAACAAGAGAAATAAAGAAACTTTGCTTACATGTTTGGCCGACTTATTTCACAGTATTGCAACTCAAAAGAAAAAAGTTGGTTCTATTGCACCAAAGAAATTTATCAATAGACTGAGAAAAGAAAAAGGTTTGTCATATTACAATGTGGTGCTTATTGTTTTTGTTTTAACAGTATGAAACGATTGTCTTTGAAACATGTTTAAAGGTTAATTGATTTTTTTTTAATTAATGTGGTGTTCTGATTATAGTCAATACATTTTTTTATTTTCTATAGAGTTTGTATAGTGTAATTGTTTTTTTGTTTCGATCGCCTACATATTATTATTTTATAAACAATTACTATTTTTTACAGAAGAATTCAATAATTATATGCAGCAAGATGCACACGAGTTTTTGAACTTTCTGATAAATCATATTAACGAAATTATCCTTTGTAAGTGTAAAAAAAAAATGAGGTCAACAACGGTATTATTAATAAATCGTGTGTATTACCAAAATTGTAGCTGAACGTAATCAGTCTAATTGTAATGGCAAAGCCAAAATAATAGCGCCTAGTATCGTCGACGGAGAATCCACCTCGAGTAGCATTACTAGTACAAGCAGTCAAAATCAAGATCCAACATGGGTGCACGAAATATTCCAAGGGATTCTGACTAGCGAAACTAGATGTCTCAACTGCGAAGAAGTACGTGTGTGCATTAAATAAAGCTACCTCAAATACAATTGATATTGTGTAAAGTTACTTTATTTAAGCATTTTTAAAACTCATTATTTGATTGTATCATTGCATAGGTTAGCAGCAAAGACGAAGATTTTTTCGATCTTCAAGTCGATATAGATCAAAACACGAGCATAACGCATTGTTTACGTTGTTTTAGCAATACAGAAATGTTGTGCAGTGACAATAAGTTTAAATGTGATAACTGCTGTAGCTATCAAGAAGCTCAAGTAGTTATTTTTGAATATAATTGAGAAATTAATTTTGTCACCTATACCCAATAACATATTGAAAATAATTTCAGAAATGCATGCGTGTTAAAAAATTACCAATGATATTAGCTTTGCATTTAAAACGGTTCAAATACATGGAGCAATTTAATAGACACATCAAAGTATCGCATAGAGTTGTTTTTCCTTTAGAACTCAGATTATTTAATACGGTAAACTGTTTTGTTTTTGTCTTAAAGTTTGATTTGGATTTGTTATAAACGATGATATTTTTAATTTCAATTTAGTCTGACGATGCTGTAAATCCAGACAGGATGTACAATCTTGTGGCTGTAGTTATTCACTGTGGAAGTGGTCCCAACAGAGGTCACTACATCAGCATTGTAAAGAGTCATGACTTTTGGTTGTTATTTGACGACGACATGGTGGATGTAAGTCGTCTATAAATTTAATTATCATAAAAGAGAAACGTTTTTTTTTTAGTTTCTTTGAATAGAACGAAAAAATGTTTAACGACCTTAGTTGTTTTGTTTGAGTTAATCGAATCAAAATAGACTAATCGTGATTACAAAGCCTGATTTTTTATTTGTATTATTTTTTTTAGAAAATCGATCAATCGGCGATCGAAGATTTTTACGGACTGACATCAGATCTGCAAAAATCGTCAGAAACTGGTTATATACTTTTTTATCAATCTAGAGATGCAGTTGAAACTACAAAATCTGCAACGACTGATACAAAAGCAAATTCATATAAATAAGTGTGTTGGCAACGGACTAGCCAAAGTGATAAATTACGTTCACGATTATGCCCCTCCCCCCCCCCAAGGTGATATTATTTAATTTAAATTTGTTGACTATTTGCATAGTTTTTTTATGTTTCCACTTTATCCGATTGAATAAATTCTAATAGTTTATTAGTTGATGTTAGTCAAGCAAACAATTATTAGTGGTAGTTATTATCAACGATTATATAAATCAAAAATTCGACTAAAAAAAAAAAAAAAGAGAGAGATAATCAATTTTATATTTGAACCAAAATAACAAATTAGCCATTATTTAAAATTCATTGTGATGGTGAACAACGTTAAGGATAATTCAGTCGTCTTAACTTACTTTCAGTCGTCTCGATTATTCATTCACGCAAACGAATATGGGTTTTATGTGGTTTTCCCAGTGTTAGGGTTTATTGCAAACATTTCTTAACCTTTTTGATACTTGTAAAATGTTTGTGTGATATAATATGTATTTAATATTAATTTTTAGCGATTTTAATTTCAAACTAATCATATGTTAGTAGTTTGTACTACTCAAAGTGACTTGTACGGTGTAATTTAAATAATTAAATGACACGTCCTCTTAACTTCTCATTTGCTATAAGTCTCCCAGTATTTCTAAAGTCATACTGAAAATGCAAATTGAAAATTGTGATAAAAGTTATAAAAATAATGTAATATCAGTAATAATATATCATAAATAAATTTTAAATTATGCTTTTTCAACGGTTTATGTTTAAAACATTGATGGTAACTTGATGAGTTGTATTTTGAATTTCTCAACATAATATATAGTGTTATTTATAAAAAAAAATAACTGCTTTTTGTAGAAAAAAAAAAAAGATTATTATTTTACGCATTTATAAAAAAAATTTATTTTTTGACTAAAAGTTACCATTGCTCTTTTACTCACGAGCTAATTACTGATTTGATTTATTTTATAATACTTAAGCTGATTGGCTAATTAAAAATACTCATATATTAATTAAGATTCGGATAATTAAATTATTGTTTGTCGTAAGTATAGTTAAAATCGAAAATAATGATAATCCTAGAGTTATTTGTGTAATGTAAGCAATAAATTGTTGAACATGTTGTTTAAATGAATAATATAATGGATAGCATTAATAGTGTACAGTGTTGACCTGTAGTGTATAGTTGACATAATGTTGGAATTTTAAAGTTGTTTTGTTTGTTACTATGAAGTTTTATGAACATGTAAAACTACAGATGAAATATATTTTATTGTTTATAAAAATAAAAAAGAATTATAAATATACTCATTTTTTAAAAAATCCAAACTAGTACTTGATTTTTCCGGAATTGTGTTTGTTTTTTTTATTCTAAATTAGTATGGTGTTATAATATTATACAATAAACTGTTTGCCATACTAGATTATATTAGATAAAACTATGTTTTGTTTGATTTTTGATGTGTAGCTAAAACAGATATTTCGAATAGGTAAATTAACTTTTTAATTATTGCACCCGATTCTTCAAATACACAGCCAGTTTGATAAAATTCTTATTCGATTATTTCAGGCCTCCAATCTCAGTTTGAAGTATTTTTAAAATAAGTTAAAAGACACTCAAGTTTATTTTATAAATATGTTCACTTTCAGATAACTTAGGTTAGTCTAGTCATGTCTGTTAGGATGACATAATTATTACGTGGGAGTAAAATATTGAAGAATAAAGATTTAAAAAATGACTTCATTGAGTGCATCCTATGAATCAAACTAATTAAAAGTTAGTGCTAATATTATTGCAAATTTTTCTTATAAATCACTCGTTTAATAAGCAATTATGAAATTTACTAGCGGATTGTAACATTTAAGATTCTGACATGATTTTGTCAACGGTCACCATGCTAACATTGGACTTCCACATTTGACTAATCAACTTGACAGGTACCCAATGAGAATATATTCCAGGATTAATTATTTTTTTTCTTCTAAAATTCATCATTAGGTCTATCGACTAAAATTTCGAGAAAAAATGTTTTTGGCAGTTAACAATATTACTATATTATATTTATTATAGCGTTTTAAGTGTAGACAAGGTAAGTCCAACAGAATATATTTTTTATTTTTGTGCAATGATAAACCTTTTTTTGTTATAATACACTTAAAACAATCACTTTGAAGTAAGTTCTCATGATTAAGGAACGATTCTTTCTAACGCAGTGAAAGTTTAAAGTAAACAAGGTAATCTAAAGCGTGACAACGTAAAACTATTTATTATTTTATGTTTTAAATAACATTTGTATTGCATTAAATACTTTACTTGAATATTGTCCTCCAAAGTGCCGTAACTAAAAATTTTTTTAACGAGTAAATTTACTAATTTTTAGCAGAGCAAAATACACAAGGACACATTTGTGCTTATAAGATTTTTAAATGGCTGAAATAACGTGTTTTGTGTCATTGTTATTTTCAAGAATCATATGTAAAATTTTTAATTTTTTTTTCAAACAAATAACTTTTATGCATTATTATAAAACAATGTAATGGGAACAAAAAAGCGCTAATTATTAAGCGACAAACAAATGGTAACGTATGACAAAAATTGAAAAATATTAAGTTATCCAAATTATAAAACTTTTAATGTTATTTTTCTTCGAGTTGGTCGAAAGTCTTATAAAAAAATTACCTTTTTACAAGTCATTTACTGGCGTTTGCGTTGGGGACGGATTAAATTTTTTTTTTCTTTTATGTGAAGCTTACTATTTCCTCTATGGGAGATAAAATGGCGATTTTTCGGTGTAGCTATTGGAAAATTAGTTAGATTTAAAAAGTATAAATACTCAAAACGTTTATAATACAATTTTGAAAACGAAAATTAAAAATCCACCTTTTAGTCCCCATAGAGAAGATGTTTAAAGCATATATACTTAAAAAGTGACTTGACTGCAGCACTAGTCTTTATTTGTACAAAATTTGTATAGATATTTGGCGGTTTTTCGACCCCTTAAGAATCTTAAATGTTTAATGCAAGGTTGGATTTAAGATGAAATCCACCTTGGTTTAATGCTTTACATGCAGTGCCGGCGCTAGGGGAGGACAAATGGGACATATGTCCAGGGCCCCGCGCTGTTTGATTTTAACGGGCCCCGCGGTTTTTAGTTAACATCTTAATACCGTGAAATACATTGACATTAAATAAAAACTATAAATCTTTAGTTCTATTATTCTACACTATAAATGTATAACGTTAATATGATTCAATGATTTTCATGAAGTGTTATGACAAAATATTATGTATTTACCTAAACAGTTATTTAGAAAACAATAGGTATCTAAATTCAAGAGAGGTATATTTTGACAGTACACGCAAAGTTGTAATATACTATAGTAAAAATAAAAAATAAATATTATGTTATAGAAGGGGCAAGAGTTGTATTCTTAAAATATTTGTTTGATTATCTATTATTATCTTTCACATTTGAACGTGTAAGAAAGATTTTTTTAAGCGATTTAGTAAGTAAGTTTTCATTTTATGAAATTATTATTAGAATTCGGTTTATAATATAAGTACTGCGTTCGTATCAAGGTTAGTTTTACCATGTATTGTTTTCAGTGGAGGCCCTTTATAGGAGAATTTGAAACTGAGTTTCCCCTTAAAAATCTTTAGCTATTAATAAATATTATGGACATTTCCCCGAGCTACAAAGTATATCCTATGTATTTTATTATGTTTTATTGGGTTTCGAACCCCCAACCCTGTAGCTTTACAGCTGGACAGTTGAGCAACCAAGTCACCTAGGCTATATACTTGATATAACTATAAGCACCTATTATAGTGTTTTTAAACATGAACAATTTTCAAAATGTATTAATAAAAACATTTTTTAATGTAAAAACATAGATTATTATGGCTGGTCTCGATTTTATAATTTGTAAATAATTTTGTGTTAACACATTATAATAAAAAAAATAATAAGAATACCCTAATATTATTATTATTTTTTATGTTTAAAATTCGATAAAAAAACAGTATTTTTTTTTTTTTAAAGCCTGAAATTGAAAAATGCTAGAGGCACGGATTTTGCCCCCCTCTGGGTGCCCAATACCTAGCGCCGGCACTGTTTACATGAAAATAATAACAAAAATAAATGTCTTTTTCAGTTCGTTAAATATATTTTATCCGTGACAGTGTAGGCGAATTAAAAAAAAAAATCTACCGAATTAAATACTACGCGCCAGACGCAGTTGGCTACACTGTTCGCTTATCCGCAGACTACAACATTTCGAATGAAACCTAACCTCAATTATCGCCGTATTGTTGACGATCGACTCTTTCGCGTTTCGTTTTTTTAGGCAGTCATTTCATCTGGGTTGAAATTGCCCGATTTTTCTAAATTGTGTAAACCGTTTGGATTGTCACTTTAAATAAATCCATCAAAATGACTGCAGAAAAGAAAGTCAAAGTAAAGAAACCAAAGGTAATTTACATTTTATATTTCGTACTAATGGTGTCGATAAAATTCCAAGACATTTCGATTTCTGTGGCACACGTGTATTTTGTCATGATATTGTACTGTTTAAAAAAAATATACATTGACTTATTACTACAGTTTTGTATCGTTTAATTAATGATGTATCTGATGTATTGATTTTAGGTCAAGAAAACCCCGGCACAAAGTGTTCAAGTATTCGGTCGTAAGGTATGTTGTGGTTGTTATCTTTTTATTTATTTTTTAAGTCATTCAGTGAACAGCATTTTTTTTTGAAACTAGTATTTTATAATATTCCTTTTGGGTTTACTTAACGTATTCTAAATTAAAATATGCTGTCAAACGTTGTTTATCAATCTTGTACAGTTATAGAAAGAAACTATTTTACGGTATAAAATAATATATATTAAGTAGTATTAGAATAACTCAATTGAGTTTCAGAGAAAGTGTTGTGTAAACATTTAGTATCTGGTTTAATCTCTCTCCTATACATATAGTGGTGTTACATGAGTGTATCGGTTCACAACCCTTTTACAAAATATACAATATAAATATTTTGGTTCCCTTAAAATATAGTACGCTGTATTACTCGTACATAGCTTACAAATATGGTAGCGTTTTACATACGCTTTAAAAACAATTATTTCGGTCACTGTAGTACAAAGTTCATTTGGTGTTTAATTGTAACTTAAAATGATAATTTTCGTCAAAAATTTAGTCATCTAAAAGTTATTTGAAAATAACAAGTGTTACAACCAAAATATCATTAGTAATATAATATATAGTGAAAGAAAGTTGTTAGCTTTGTTATTTTAAACTTTAAAATATATGTAAGTTAACTGTTATCAGAAGATAATGCTGTTCTTCTTAGTAGGGTAAACAACTATTGAATGATTGTTCTCTAGTTAGTAGTTATCTTCTCCACATTCTCTCAGTTTCTCTTTAATCAATAATAATAAATTAAAATATTTCATCCGAATCTACATAATATTATGTACAAGCTTAAATTTTATGATTCCTTGGTGTTTCACAACTCTAGTCGTAGGTTAATTATTATAGGCTTAACAAATTATAAATTACTAATTAACAACTCGTTTTATGTTTACAGAAAACTGCTACAGCCGTTGCATACTGCAAAAGTGGTACTGGTAATATCCGAGTCAATGGCCGTCCATTAGACATGGTTGAACCAAGAGTACTTCAATACAAACTTCAAGAACCCATTTTGTTGTTAGGAAAGGTTAGAAGCAAAACATTTCAAAATGCCACAACATGATGTTTATTTTATTTTTATAGTTGAAAATAATTTTTTTTTATTAAAAATGTATATTTTGTTTATTAGGAACGTTTCAGTGAAGTTGACATGCGAGTTCGAGTAAACGGTGGTGGTCATGTAGCTCAAATTTACGCTATCAGGCAAGCAATTTCCAAGGCTTTAGTTTCGTACTATCAAAAATGTAAGAGCTAATCTGTGATGGTTTACGATTTAAAAATATCTATATATTTTTACCTATTTTGTTAATTCTTATCATAGATGTCGATGAAGCCAGTAAGAAAGAAATTAAAGACATCTTAATCCAGTACGATAGGACTTTGTTGGTAGCTGATCCAAGACGTTGTGAACCTAAGAAGTTTGGCGGTCCAGGAGCTCGTGCCAGATACCAGAAATCATACCGTTAACTTTATTTTTTTATATTATATATATATTGACCTCAAATATATGTAAATTTAAAAAAAAAAAAATTACTTGGGTTGGATACTATTTGTGATAGAAATTGCTTGACAATTTTAAAAGTAAACGACATAACCAAAAATAGTTTATAGAACTTAAGATGCATTCTAAGATCAAATCGGGAAACTAAATGCGTATGAACAGTTTATTTACCATTTTAAATACTATCGATAAAGTGTTTTAGCCGAACTAATGAATTGTAATGTAATGATAAAGGATGAATCATTTAGTAAACGTTCCATTTAAAAGGCTAAGGGTTGATATATATTAATATATCTTTTATTATTATTATTTTCTTATTCGGGCCTCTCCTATTTGCACTTGCACTGTATAAAGTCAAGTTTCTATAAAAAAACAAGTAACAATAGTTATTATTACAGATGGATTTGATAATGTGATTACATTTTTAATACTATCGATCAGCATTGGCAACTTACTGCTCATTAAATATTTGATTGCTTCGTATGCGTATTTTTAGTGCGAATTTCATATTGGCCGAGGTTTATTATAAATATGTTTTTTTAACGGTCTAAGAGGAAAATAAAATGTTGACCTAGACAGCGGTACACAGCTAAGACATAATGGGATAAAATAGGGTCTACCTATTTAAATTTCGGTTTTCTCCAGTTGTTACGCTTGCAATTTAAAAATAATGAACCCTTTTATGTAGAATAATATTGAGAAAGTGTAGGTGCTGCGTTATAGCAGTATAATTAAATACTTTTCCTACGACTGATATTGAGAACCATTAAAGAGTCTTTATTTAATTTTGATCTTTATATTACTATGCACAAAATAGCAATAAACCAACACTTGACGATGAAGGCGCTAACGACAATATTTTAAACTTAAATATATTATTATTAAAGAAGTAATCACAATAATTGAAAAACTGTCTTTACTACAGAAGGTCGTTATTTTATATTTTAACGTCAACCAGAGCGGGTCGATCGCTCTCCAGCCAATTTCAGGATTGTTTTTTCAATGTAAAATAAATGTATAATTTTAATAAATAGATTTTATAACATAAAAAAAAATGTTCAAAACGCCTAGATCATCTTTTGGAATAAGGTGTTTAAATATCCATATCAATATTGCAGTAGTTGGAAGGCTGTATAATTAGTATCTTCTGTTAAAAAATGATAAAAGATATAAAATATTGTAAAGTAAGCTAGAGAGGAGTTTATAATAGGAATAAGGAGTAAAGAAGAAGGCACTCAATTAGGTATGCTGCAATTGGTATTAATTTTGATATGTAATCTTATTACACAAAGGAAATAAGATGTCTTTAACAATTTTTTTTTTTTGTATTGTTTATGGTCTGACTTTTTTTGTTTATACAATTTTTATGAACTATAAAAGCAACACAACCGAATAATTGGATAACAATATGCCAACAACTTGTAGCAATTAAATTTATACAATTACCAATATGAACTATTTTGATAATATACTGCCTTGAGTATAGGCCCTCCTAACTTGAAACCTTGAAATAAAATATAAAAATAACTAAATTAAATTAATAAACAAGCGTGATGAGTCCTACTGTAAGTGTAGTCGATTTATTTAAATTCCAATTATGATAATTTGCACCACTAATTAAAATACACTTTACTTTCAAAATATTGATTATTTTAACAGGGTACGGGGAAAACCCCAGCAAAGCCACTTTTTTTAATTCGAGAAAAACATGTTAAAGTAATTACTTAAAACTTTTAAAAAAGTGTTAAATTTTTGTTTATAATCTTGCTTAAATAAAAACACATTTGTTTTGTATCAAAACCAATTTTATAACAACAAAATTACCATTTTGTAAAAAGTGACTTTCCTGGTTTTTCCCAGTAGGTTACCCTTCAATTGCATGTAATTTTTTTATGTTGTAACTGTAAACGGCGATTAGATACAGTAAATGTATTTGAACTTAATTTCTAAGAGTCCAAGAAAATGTCTTTTTCCATTTGAATTAAGGAAGAATTTTTAGGAAAACCTATTTTGAGGCAACGCGATATGTGTAGCCAATTTTTTTATATTTTTCATAGCCAAGAAGAAATTGGTCGGTACAGAGAGAGATAAAAACATACACAATTCAGATAAGTAGCTATTTTTTAAATTTACAATTCATTTTTAACTTCTTTAAACTAAAGTATGATATTTTACAATATATTTTGTCGAACACTTGTTACAAATGGTTCGACTAAAAGATATTTTTAAATAATTGTATTGTGCGAGACCTAAATATTATACTAAGTACACATTCTCTAATATTTTTACAATATGTTGTCCTTATCCGTTTACAAACCATCGCACCATCTGGTTTTCTACAAACTAAAGTGCATAAAAGAATTGTTAATACATTTTTGTTTTGTCATACACAATTCCAATATAAAGACTGAAGTACTTGTTTCATTATCAGAGTCAAGTTTGTTTTCAACAACGAACGATGTCACAATAAATAATTAAATAAATTGAAGTAGAGGGATTTATTGATTGACGTACAGTGTTCATACTTGAAAATAGAATTATACTCTAAAAAAAAATGTAGAACAAAATTGCTAAGAACCAAATGAAAAAAGACCTTGCTATTATTTTACACTTATACAATATTTATAGTAGAGCGTGAAATGTAATTTTTATGTTTTACAAATTATCATTTTGATTTTCGACCTTGTTGTTGAAATACAAAAATCTGTATTGTGTATACTTTGAATAATATAAATAAATTAAATTTTGTCAGTCGAGAGAATTATTGTGGTTTGCGGTTTATGCTGTTTATCAATGATCATTTCCTGGTAAAAAGTAAAAATATATATTTTTTTTTTTTTTGATACCATAAAAATACTAAAATTTGTTATTCAAGTAGGTATTTTGAGACATAACAAACATTCTAAGAGCATTTCTCTTGACTCCTCCCTAAATAATGTGCTAAAAGTTTAGTAATGCCTGTTCTATATATTGTGGTAATATAATATTTATGTGTAAATCTATATATGTTGTCAAGTAATAATTTTTGTTTGTTTTATTGTTTAATAATGATTTTTAAAACGAAAAAAATGTCGCCATTATTAGTAAATTATTACTTTTACCATTCGCGTGGCAGAACTGAGTGATGTTATATTCTATTGAACGAAAAATGAGAAAATATCAGAATATATTAATGTCGGATTTGTTTTGAAATCGCCCAATGTGTATTTTGTTAAAATTAATTAATAATATAAACATATTTTATACTGCGGTAAAATTGTTTTTAAATTCATTTCAACTCGATAAAATATTTTTGGCCAATTTTTTTTTTGGCATAAATCATTATGCGTATGGTCCGCCATTGGTAACACAGAATAACCAGAAGGGAAACCTGCAATTTTTTTTTACACGGATCACGAACTCAATTATTATTATCATGCTTGCTCTGTGTTCCGTCTATTATAACCAATTGTATTCTATACAAATTCTTTATAGGTCTATGATTATAACTAGGGCAGAGGACTTGTAGCTCTAAAAAAACATTAAATATGCAAGCACTTATGCACTTAAAAACCCTAAAATATGCACTATTTATATGCTTTAAACATTTTTTTTTGCGATTTAATTAAACAAATTAATTACTTTAATTAAAAAATTTTAAATAAAAAAAAACAATTACTGACTAAATTTAACTATATTTATATGTTATACTATGAGTTCACGACCAATAAATGAATAAAAACTTTGGCTAAATGAAACTTTGACTATTTATTGACTTAATTATACTGTAATTAGTGTATAAATCCCCCTTAAAATCATGTATAACTTAAAAATGTCTCAAAAAGCAAAAAAGACCTAAATATGCAACATAAAATTACAGATTTGGCTTAGTCATGACTCATAATCTAAAACAAATTTCTTTATGGTTGGCCTTTTTATACGGCTGCGCAAAACATATTATATGAAAATGCTAGAAGTCCTCTGCCCTAGTTATATAACCTAACCGGATAAGAACCCGTGTAATTTTTTCCAAAGTTTCCCTTCCGGTTATTCCGTGCCGGCGCGCGATCACTCGGCAGCAGCTGCTCGCGGCTCCCCACCGTGACTGTCTCGAGGACGAGCGAGAGGGAAAGGATTATAACGGTGACGCCAACCGTGTAAAATTGTAATGTGTGCGTTTTTGTAGAACGAGTTACTGGCAAAGGTGTTGCATAAAATTAAACACAATAAAATACATAGTATATGGTAAAAACAACGGTATTGTGATTTCGTCCGTAATCAAAATATCATCAAACGAACGAGCTGTTACCGTGTGCAGCAGCCGTAGACGTCGATGTCGCGCCGACGGCGGTGGGAAATTTAACGCTGGTCGCGCGTGCAACACTGCGGCGCAGCTCTCTGCGTTCTTTTGTCACACCGCCCCTCCCGTCTCCGTCCGCATCCACCACGGACGTATTGTGCGTTTCAGAAACAGTTTTGTTTTCGTACCACCGGGACATATCGTTCGGCCATGGTCACGTCCGCACGGATTGTGTATTTGTCCGACTAGTCAGGGTGCTAATACCAAGTTTGTGCCGTAAAAAAAAGCCAACAGAATATTAGCCAAAATAATAAATTCTAAAACCCCCCCTCGTGCTGCCGTTGATCGTTTGTCCGCCGCGCTACTATCGCCCTGTGTCCCGCGAACGCGTCACACGAGCACCGCGAGCCAGTGGAGGAACAATATGGCTATGAATTGATGAAAACGTTGCGCGTGTCGACCGCTTGGGCCTGTGGAAAATAATGCAAATATTTTGTTCTGGCCAGTCATACTACAAATTCCGTCCCAGGTAAGCCGGCCATTATTATAATTATTATTTTACACCGGCATAATATACTAGCGTGCGGCGACGACGACGACGGACAAAATATTACCCGACATCCATTGAGAAACGAGGTCAATATGGAAAGGCCGCCGTCGACGTGGTGTTACCCTGGCACGATTATTGTTATTTTTTATATCCTACCGGGGATCGGTGCTCGCATAATATTATCTAGAGAACAGTGGATAAATCCGGGAAAAACTAATCCGTTTTCCGGCCACCCACTTAAAATGTCGGTTTACTCAAAACTGTTGTTTACGCGCAAGGCCTCCCTATCGTGGTCGTCCATTATTAGTGTTCAAAAATCATTAATAATTCAAGCTAAATTATATTCATTTCGAATTTTGACATTTTTCTCGTTCACGCAGAGATTGTGATCTTCGATAGCCAATCGTGTGTTTTACCTAGAATTATCGTCGAAGACGTGTGCTGTATATGCTTAATGGCCAAGTTTATCATCTCAACGTTAAGTGCTTTATCAAAAACCGTCTTGACTGTAAACAAAATTCATAGGATCGTTTTTTGCACGTCATCAAGAGCTTCCATATCAATTTCTAACATAAGTGTACCTCGTACATTATGAACATCGTTTTAAATTTGTAGATGAAAATTACACATTAATCGGTTATTAAAACAAAATGCTCTAGAAAAAAAGTGTGTAACATTAATGACAGAGTTAGGTAATTTACCAGTAATCTTGTTATTCGATATTTTTTCTATGTTATCGGCATTTTATAGTACTTATCTTTTTGACAGACTGCTATTCTGCTACTTATGTTACTTATCGAAGATAATGATAATATATTATATAATATATATTTAAAATAAATCAAATAACTAAACTCCTTACAAATAAAAGACGAGTATTTATTTTAAAATGTATTGTTGTTTGCCTTGTTAACTTTGATGCGGATTTACAATGATGCGTGTTTTTTTTTGTATGTAAACACAATAACTTTTTTTCCTCTGGACCGATTTACTCGACTAGCCGCTCTATAGATCTGAAATAATTGTATGTGATTGGTACTATGGTGGGTTAAAAGCAGGGTTCCGTTATCAGTTATTTATTTGTCAAGTTCAAAAATGTTATTGATGAAATGTTGATTTCATCACCTCGTGTCATTTTTTTTTTTGGTTAATTAGTATTTTATATAAGCTCAAACAGCAGCATTAAGTAAAACAAATAAAAAAAGTCCATATCAGTATAGTACAGACCAAGTATAGTTTTAACCAGTACAGTCCACACCAAGCACAGTACAAAATTACCAAAGTGGAGTCCAGGTGGGCCTACGCTCTAATTTCGAAGCACTAACGTAACTATATATATTCATTCGTGAGTGCTTCGGAATTAGAGCGAAGGCTAGCCTTTCGTCCGTCAGCCAACAGCTCGCTATCATTAGATAATGAATTGCATTTATGTATTTCATGTGCAAATAGAGCATAAGTTATAAAACATTTAAAAGTTCTTTTGTCTCCTTAATACTGGTGATTTTAGACTTGCGCCGTTTCTCACAATTAACGTTTACATATTTCATTAATTTTACAATTTTGTTACATTACATAGATGTTTATTTTACGCGTTTGTTAATTTGTGTCATATATTTATAATAATACGATGTTTAATGTAAATTTAAAGGCATTTTCAAAATTTATATTTATTTTCATTGTATTATTTTATTGATTTTTCATAAAAAAATATACTTTTTGATTTATTATACTGCTTATTGGTAGCATTATTGTAATAATTTTAAGGGATTAGTATTTGTAGTCGACAATTTGTTTACAACATCTCCCTCGTTATTTTTTTTTTTTGTCATATTGGTTTCAAAAATTATGCGACAGTTTTCAAAATAATCTAACTAATATTTAATTAGAGTTATAAAAAAAAAATACAGTTTTAGATATGACCTATGATATAATTAATAATTTGTATGATGTGCAATAATTGATATCTTTTAAGCTAAGTGTAATTAGCCTAAATAAATATTTTATATACTCTATTGCCCTATAATAGACATCAATAATAAGTCAGTTGAAACACGAAAACCTTAAAAAATTTATTTAAACCATTTTTAAGTATAGTCCTTTTATAATATATTATTATGCATACATTTATTGTTACTGGTTTGAATTTTGGTCAACGCTAGATTAATAGCCATGACAATCAGCCAAATCAACATTTAGTTTTCGTGTACAGTTTATCAAATAAAATCAAATTGAAATTATTTGTTTTTCGTTTAGAGTGACATGTACAGCAGTCAATCACAAGGTTTGTGTTCAGAACGGCTGGTGGCTGATGATAGTGTTGCAATTGTTACGCATCACAAAAAACGCAAGCTGGACCAATTACATAACGCCGCTTGCGGCCCAGAAAATTACCATCACAACAAATACAAACTAAGTTCGTTACACCACCATTACGAACCGATTGTTGAGTTGGTCTCGTATGAACCAATCAAATATCGCAAACATCATGGTACTTCTAATGCTCCATCCAACATAAAGGCCAGCCCGACATCTGCCCATAATCAGAATTTCATAAGGGCATCAACTATCAAGCTCCTGGACACATATCAACGCTGTGGACAAAAGGTATTGACTATTTACATAGCTAAATAATTATCATAAATTGTTTCGAAAGGAAATAATAGTGCATACTTTGAAGTTCTTATTTAAATTATTATTTTTTCTTTACTTAAACCATTACAAAGTGATTAGTCTTTTTTATAAAATTAGTCTTTGGATTTGTGCATTGTACCACTTATCTGTAATTTTTCTGAATCATCGGTTTAAGAATGTAATAGTTCCAATAATAATAAAAAATTTGACGAGTTTTTAAACATGAACACGATAAAGTTGCAATTAAAAATTTTACGATGTATTTATAAAACTACTAACTAGGAGTATAAAAATTTGAGATAAATATTGTTCTTGATAAATGTTACTGTTTGTGGCAATAAACAAGAGTTAACTAAATATTTTTTTTATTGTAATTCTACAGCGCAAATCATGTGAAAATGGCGTAACCAATGGTGCAGAGTCTAGTTGTGGAGCTGGAGGAGGAAATACTACATCAACGACCACTACTAATACGACCACCACAACGGGGCAACAAGGGAAACAGGGGGCTGATGGTGACTATCAGTTGGTTCAGCACGAAGTATTGTACTCGATGACGAACCAGTACGAAGTTCTTGAATTTCTAGGCAGAGGCACTTTTGGACAGGTAAATATATATTTATAATAATGTTGTTAATTTGAAAGTTACGATGTTGGCTAGATATCATCATCTGTAGTATGTTAAAAATGTTTTGGTAATTTAAAAGACACATGGACCACTTTATAATTTTTTTGGTTTTTTTTTTTTATTTAGGTTGTAAAATGTTGGAAAAAAGGGACAAACGAAATTGTTGCGATTAAGATATTAAAAAATCATCCATCATACGCTAGGCAAGGTCAAATCGAAGTAAGCGTTACGTTAATGTTATATACTGTTCAGTAGACATTAGCAACAACATCTACCAGACATTATATGTATGTTATAACAATATTAATGTGATTTTTAGGTGAGCATTTTATCACGACTGAGCCAAGAAAATGCAGACGAGTACAATTTCGTTCGTGCCTACGAATGTTTCCAACATAAAAATCATACATGTTTGGTGTTTGAAATGTTGGAACAAAATTTGTACGATTTTCTTAAGCAAAATAAATTCAGTCCTTTACCATTGAAATTTATCAGGCCAATATTACAACAAGTGTTAACTGCTCTACTAAAATTGAAGGTAAATACTAACTCTTATATCCAGAATACAATAATATGTTTCTTGTTTGGTTCGCTATCTCAATGGCTTGCCGTACAATGATAAGGCTGGTTTCTTGTTATTATGGGGTCATATTAATACATTTTTGTTTGACAAATTTTCCAGGATTTGGGACTTATTCATGCAGATTTAAAACCAGAAAATATCATGCTTGTCGATCCTATTCGGCAACCCTACAGAGTTAAAGTTATAGATTTTGGTAGTGCGTCGCATAAAAGTAAGGCTGTATGTAACACGTATTTGCAGAGTAGATATTACCGAGCTCCAGAAATCATATTAGGTATGAAGCGAATTTCTTTTTGACAAAAGTAAACTAAAAAAGTATACTTCAACTCAACGTATTGTTACGATTATTATTTTAGGCTTACCTTTTTGTGAGGCAATCGATATGTGGAGTTTGGGATGTGTTGTTGCGGAATTGTTTTTGGGTTGGCCGTTGTATCCAGGTTCATCTGAGTACGATCAAATACGCTACATTTGTCAGACCCAGAATTTGCCCAATTTAGATATGCTGACGAATGCTTCTAAAACGTCCAAGTTTTTCTACAGAGACGTTACTTACCAAAACAACTGGAGGTTAAAGGTAAGTTAATATTAATTTGTTGTTGAACTAAATATCGGATTAATTTTTATTGATCTTGATTAGATTATGGAAGAACACGAAGCTGAAACTGGGATAAAGTCCAAAGAAGCAAGGAAGTACATTTTCAACTGTCTAGACGACATTGGACAAGTAAACGTGCCAACAGATTTGGAAGGAGGTGAGCTTTTAGCGGAAAAGGCCGACAGGCGAGAATTTATTGATCTTCTGAAGAGAATGTTATCCATGGATCCGGTAATTACTTAAAACGTTGCATTTTATTTTTAATTTCGAACTATTTATCAATGTTTTTTTTTTTAATTTTAATTATACAGGCCAACAGAATACATCCCAATACAGCTCTTTTACATCCGTTTGTCACTTTGGCGCATTTAGTTGATTTTGCTCGTTGTGACAATGTTAAAGCTAGTGTACAAATGATGGAGGTTTGTCGACGTGCATTGCCCGATCATCATTCGAGTGGTGGTCCGGCTGTTCTGGTCCCGGCCACAAATGGGAATGCTAATGTCACGCTTACTTTTAATAATCAGGTTAGTGCCTTTGGAGTATTTGAAATATTTTTAGTTATATTCATTCTGTATAATTAGTGCCGCGCATTAAGCTAAACTGCCGCCGCACATGGCCAATTGTCCCCTGTTAATAAACCTGGCACTGTGTATAATACTAAAATACTATCGGGGGGGGGGGGGGGGGTTTAGGTATTCAACTGTAGCTTGAAGTATAATTTTCGGTAGGGGGCTACTCGGACCATACATTGATTTAAATAGTTAATTCTAGCTCAAACATTTTCCACGAGTCTGGTTGCAGTCTATTTTTGAGTTATTTAATGTTTTACTTTAACCTGAAAATAGTTTGGACTAAAATTCTTAGTTACTAATTACATTATGACACTGTGGGGTTCAGTTTTGATTTATTTGAATAAACCAAGTAGTTCTTTATTCGTACATATTTAAATTCTTAATATTAATTACTTAATAAATACATTTTAGTACCAACTATATAACAGCCGGTCAATGGCTCGCCAATATAGTGGCAGCTCAAATCAGCATCATCAGCTTTCGATACTTTGTTCAGCTGGTCCTGGAGCATATCAAACTGGAACATCGCCCCCAAAACACGTTACTGTCATGCCACCTCCACCTCATCCTTCTCAGCTCCAAATTCAACACTCGGCCAGTCTGATTACGCAACAGGTATTTAAATACTAAAAAAACACTTTTTTTACTATATCGGAGGTAGTGGGGTAGGTTGGGGAATAGCTTTTTTTTTTTAATAGCACTGCTAAACTAAAAAAATTTTTAAGTAGTTTTCTATGGTGAACACACCACACTTATGTTGAATTTACATTTCTACATTACGACTCCATTTTAATAGGTATATTTTTTTGCTACAATTCAAAAAAAAAGTTCAACATTTGTATTAATAAAAATGTCATCTTCATGTTATGTATCTAAAATATATATAGATTAAATTTTAAATTGAAGTAGCGACTAGCGTACACATTTTTGTCAAGTTAACTTGCTCACTTATAACTTGTTTTACAACAGGTTACCATTTTCTTTTGACAATAGGTGCTATTGTGGCATCACTACTAAAAAGCATGCTATCTCCTCACTACTGATAATTAGTATATATTATGTATACACTTTTAAGAGATAAAACAATTTAATCTATCGTGTCTGTTATAGCCTGGTGGCGGCCAACAACAGTATGTGCCAGTATCGATGGTCGATGGTAGTCGTCAAATGATAGCTACGTGGCCCGCACCTCCTGCGTCTCACCACCGTCAGATGACTATTGTACAGCCCCCCGGGGCAGGAGCGCCATCGGCTGCGTGGCATCCGGCTTCAGCAGCTGCAGCTGATTGGGCAGCAGCAACAGTTCCTAGACCGCTCATTGTGGATTCTGCTACTGCTATACTTCAAGTAATTTTATTTTTTTTATTAGCGTTGAATACAAACGAGATATTATATTGTTGAACAAATAATATTACGATTTATTCGATTTAGGAACAGCGCCCGGTGGCTTTTACCACAACCGATGTATATGATGGTCTGCTGGAAAGCCCTACAATGGTCGGAACGATATGGGGCAGTTCCAGTAACAACGGAAAATCGCGTTCGAACAAGGCACATATAGGCGCATCTCAGCCCCACCATCATCATTCGCTGTCGAGTTATCATCAACAAGCCCCGCCAGCTCATCACCACCATCATCATCATAGACAAGACAAGAAAGACACGGTCATAAGTGCCACTAATCAACTGAGTCCGGTTAAAAAACGAGTAAAGGAAGGAACACCTCCACAAGGTAAATATATATATATATAAGAGAAAAAATCCGAATAAATAACTATATAATTAAACTTGTAATTTTAGTCGAGTATGAAGGAAGAAATAACAGAGGCAGTCTAACTTTGGACAATGTTCCAAACTGGCATCAGCCTTCTCCTAATTACAAACAAACAGTGAGTTGTTGTTAGAAAATGCATTAAAAATACTGATTTTGTACATTTTGCTCACTTTGAATTTTCTATCGTTTTATTAGGCGCAAAACAGACAACACCACACTATAACGATTCATGATACTCCATCTCCTGCTGTATCTGTTATCACAATATCTGATAGCGAAGATGAAGCTTCGACTAAGGGGTATGTGCATAGTGCATACACATAATAATAATGATCGGATTTGTTAAACGTGCAATGTATATGATGTCTTCTCTAAATATGTATTTATTTATATTATATTTTTCCAGAGCTCAATTGAACTTGAAAATGAACCGTAAAAATGTAATATCTTGCCTGACGGTTGGCGAGAGTGATAACGAAGAACAAGTGTTATCGAAACATGTTCCTTATCATCCGAAACAACTTCAGAACATGCGTTCGACTCCGGTCATTTATCAGCCTCAGTCAAAGAACTCTAATATACAGGTAAGAATTTTTTTTATTAAAATGTATCAAATATCTATTACGATATATACTAAAAAAAAAAAAAAACATGAACATAATAATATACTATATTATAGTCTTTGATTATTAATTGTCAAATTTATCATACGTTTCTTTAGAACGGAGAATATATTGCTTGTCACAATAGCCCCTCCAGTGTAGAGTTAAATGGCCAATATTCACAGCATTCTTCGGTCAACAGCAATTCTCAACAATCAATTTACATGCCACAATTGCCCAGTGAAATCAAACACGAACCTCATTATAGGTGTGTATTATAATATACTTATATTGAAAATTTAATATATTTTATACAATAAAAGGGTCACGACGGTTTAAAAAATCTGCATCGATTACGATTTATCACAAATTATACATACATACACCACCAATTACCAGTTTATATTTCAAACTTATTTAATGTCGGAAAGTTGTGATCTCCTTTAAGGTCGACGTCAATAGTTTACGATTACGTGGATCGAATGACTTCGAAATTGTGTCGACGCTTCAGCAATATGTGGTAGAAATGCATTTTTTTTTTATAAGAATTACAAAAATCGGTGCGTTACAATGGAAGTTAAACGGAGAAATGTGGAGAAACTTTTTCTTATAGTAATATCGATATCATTGATGATCCTTAGAATATTATTATAACTTGTGTAACTAAGAGATACACTTTATTCTTTTAAATTGTTAAAACTTTCAGTTTCACATAAAATTATATTATATATGTATTTTTTTTTACATTAAGCAGTTCTTCTTCACATATCGGCAATACAATTACTCAGTCGCAACTGAAAAGAATGGTGTCTAAAGTGCAGCATTCACATCAGAGTCAAGATATTTTCAATTCGACAGGCACGAACAAACAAGATCCACCTCAAGCTATCGAATATTATTGCAGTGGAACAAACTGTAAAGATCCTTATCATTACGTTTCACCGCACGACCAACATATTGTTTACGCTGGGTAAGCTCGGGATAACTATTATTTATTCAAGTGTAAATCAGTTAATAAAATTAGCTTAAAATAAAATACTATTGTCTGTGTTTTTAGCGATAAACGTATATCGTATGCTATTCCGTCAGCTCACAAGCGCAACGTTACTAACCCTATGGACTATCAGTTACAACCTCCTGTAGCCCATTCTAGTAGGGATTCTCATTTAATACCTGCTCCAAAGACGGCTTGGACCCAGCAAGCAATTCCTGTACATCAAGCTTACAGGTACGACAATAATAGTTAAATGTGTCTCGCTTCTCTTTCACTTGGAACTGAAAATATTTAAAATGTGATGTTAACTATTGTCTTAATATTTCGTAGGAGCCACGTTCCAGACTACACCGCGGCACATCTTTCGCCACAAGCTTTGGGGACTAACCGTGGTCTTTCACCTCTTGCCGGTCAACCCTTGTATCATCAAAGCGACATCTACCGGCGACAGGCGGTTTACGTAACGACTGGACAACCGCCAACTGCTGCTGCGTATTTGCCGACTCAACAAGTTCCTGCCGCCGCGTTTGCCGCTGGGTAAGTGTTCATTTGGATTTTTCTATTCTAGACCAATCTTAAGATGTTTGTTGTTTTGTCTGCAGTCCTATTCCGCCGCCGGCTCATCACGCCAGTGCAAGACCCATACTTACAACTCACGCTACCCATCCGTTGCCGGCTCACATGCAACCGACAGCGGTGTACGGTTACTTGAGCCCTGCCAAAACACACCATCAGTATCAACCGTTGTGGTTTGCCGAGTAGGGTTTATCACAGGGGTGAGTTGTTATTTTATTTTTATCCTTAAAAAAGTACAATTAATGGAGTCACGAAAGAGACGAGTAGTAAAATCCAAAACCAGATGCAAAACCACCTAACAGGCTTTAAAAATCACTGTTGTTTTGTCCGAAAGTACTTTTTAGTTCACCAAAGTTATTTGTTACAAGCATATTATTAATTTATTGTTTTTCCCTTAGGTCTGACAATAAATTAATGGCACCTCTACTTAACAACAATGATCATCTAGTCGTTAAAGTCAGGCCTCTGTATATGTTAACAACAGATCCTGTACTCACCTAAAGTGTCTTTTTTTTTTCTTTTATGTAAATATGTTACTTTTATTTTTTCAATTTTGAATAGTACTATTTTTTCTCCTTGTTATTATGTTACTATTTTAAAACTAATTATTCGTTGCACACAGTCTTAACGAAAACCAAATATTGTGACATTTCAGACTCATTTATTAACTTAAAAAAAATATATATATATAAAAAAAAAGAAAGGAGAAATAAAAATTAGATGCTCGAATTGACATTTTTTTTTTTTTTTTTTTTTTTAACGTATTGCAATTTGATCAACAATTTTTTCATTCATTCAATATATATATTTTTTTAATTTTGTACATACACGAACGGCTTTTTGAAATGTACAATGGTTTTACGAATACATTTGCGTTAATATAAAAATGCCGAATTAAAATATAAACGTGTAAATAAAACAATAATATGCCATAACTTTAACATAGTAACTTAAAAAAAAAAAAAAAATTAATATTAGTGAGACATTATTACTTATTAAACTATTTTTTATTAATATTATTATTGTTACTTTAAACTATAGTTATTAGAAGAAGGACAGTATATCCATAAAATATATTTTTATTACATAAAATACTATATATGTATATTTATATAAAACTACAATATTATTTTAATATATTATGATAATCGTTAGGAGTTATTTATATACAAACATGTATAAAATTAAAACAAACAAAAAAAATGGCATTATTATTGGCCTTATTATATATTATGTATTGTCGTGTGCTTTATCGTGTTTCAAGTGACACATCATTGGTTTTATATACTTACAAAATTAGCAAATAGATTTAACAATATGGGTGATATATAGGGTTAGAGATTATTAGTAGTAAATATTTTGTTTTTATTTTTAGTTGTGTTTAGCCTTAAATATACGATAATGGAATATTATGTCACTATTAGTTTTGAAGTTCTCTTATATATATCAGTATAATATTACATTTTTTACATTTAGTAAATAATTAATTTATTGGCTAAAATAATCAATAATTATTATTATTATTTTATTAATCGATGCTAATATTGTTTATATGTATATATATATATATATTTATTATTTAATATTATTTTTATTATCAGTCTTAAAGAGGTTGTGGATTTTTATTAACAAACATAATATTATAGTACATATATATATATGTACAAATATATAAATAATCGACCAACAAAAAAATGTTTTGCTAATATTATTTTTTAACTAATTATTCAGTTTTGACTAAATACTTTTTTTTTTTTTAACGATAAACTAAGATTTTAGGTAGTTAACGGGATATTTTTATTATGTACTACGCTAATCGAATTTTATAAGTTACTATTTTATTACGAAGTAAGCTTTTTTTTTTTTTTTTGGAATTATATTACTCCCGGGGTTAAATTTAATCACAAAATATTATTGAAAGTATATATTTTTTACACTAAATACTATTATATATATGTATAAATAACAACGATAATATTAAAATAGTTAAAAATCGGGCTTACGTGTTAGTATTTTTTTTTTTTACAACTACTAACAGCAGTAGTTGGTACAAAAAATATAATTCACCAAAAATAATTTATTGTCAATTAAATGCCAATTATGTAATCGTAATTTTTTTTATTTATAAACTTTTTCAACAGTGTTATAAGTGGTAGTTTTTTTTTTTTATTAAAATCGTATAACAAATCTATGTACAATGTATAATGTAAAAGTATTATTAAGAAAATATATTGTAATGAAACTATTGAGAAATAGATAATTGAAATATCCACTTTATGTAAATTTATCGCTGAATTTTTTCTCTGTAAGGTTGGTATTAACAATTACGTATTAAAAGTTATTTTTTTATTAAGTGCGGGGTATTTATATAGTTGGATGATTTTCTACTAACACTAACATAAATTTTAATTTAGTCCATAAATTAATATCCGGTCAGTATTTTGTTAGACGAGGAATTTTTTTTTAGTAAATATATTGATTGAAATAATAGTATATAAAATATAATATTAACTAATAATATGAGCAAAAAAAAATATACATATATACATATATACCCGTTTGCCATAAGATTTAAACAAATTTATTGAATTAAAACTGTACGAACATTTCGGTTTAATTCGGCTTTTTTTTTACGCTTTTTTATGAGTAAATATTTGTATTACGATAATTTTATGCAACGTTTGCATTTTAATTGTACAGCAAAATTTAGTTAAATCCTACGAAAAACATATTTTGTTGTTATACTTTACAGGGTTAATATAAATTTTTTTAACGTCAATTTAAATAATATAGTTTAAAAAACAACATACAATGTGTATTGATTTATTAAAATTTATGTAATTTATGGTAAATCACCTTATAAATAATTTTATATTTACATTTAAACATGTACTTATTTACAATTCTTGGTTATTATTCAGATCTTAAATTTATCGATAAGCGTTTACTCTATCGTTTGTGAAAGACCAAGAATTTTGTGAATTTAGTCGACTACAACAATAACAATTCATAATAATATAATCTATATTGTTATTTTTTATAAATTTCAATTAAAACTAGATGGTCATTTTCGAGGATTTAAATAGATTTAGCCAAATGCCAAAATTTACCTATTAAAACAATACAACAATTAAACCTCAAACGATTTTAATTGTTAATAATCGTTACACGTTTATTTTACACGCATCGAATATTATATAAACATAACTCGAATGTTAGCTTAAAGTATTTATAAAACCATAACTATTGAACGTCTTGTACTCTTTTTTTCATTTATCTTTTTACAATTACTTATATATTTTTGATAACTATATAACATAATATTAGTAATTATTTGTTAGATTTTTTAATCTATTGTACATAATATTATAATCTATTACAATTAGTATATCATATTGTAATTTGTTTTTCGTTTTTGCTAATTTTTTTTATAATTATTATTCAAGTCGCAAAACAATAGTAATTAATTTATATATATACAATCAAAAAGTACATTTTTCTTATTTCTATTCAGTTCTGATTATTTGTATATTATATTTATGCATCATCATCATTTTTTTTTTAATCTTCATTCTTAATTTTTCACTTTTTTATCGTTATATACTAACTTCATCGTCGTAATATCTGAAAGCGTTGCATGTGTTGTTTCATTAAAAACAAAATTGAATTTGTTCTATTTTCTTATTTACGGTCTTATTGCGTGCGACCGTGTGCATTCTTATTAGTAGTAAATACTTTCCTAAGCAAAATTATATATATATATACATATATTATATCTTTATTAAATGTAATCCATTCAGTACAAGGAGTTAATAATATATAAACGTAGGGTTAAAGCGAGCATATGTACTATATATAATAGATAAAGCGTAACGAGACTACGATGGTTGTAGTTTATGATAATATATTTTTTATTACATTTACATATTATTATTATTATTATTGTTAATGTGATTTCTTTGACCTTTTACGTTTATCGTTTTCAATCGAACCCCGACGGTTCTTTAAAATATTAATTTTTTTTTTCCTTTTTTTTAAAAAACCATAAATCGAATACAATCAACTGAACATAAACATAATATATGTTTGTAAACATAATATATATATATATATATATATATATATAGAATATATGTTATGTTACTTGAGAAATGCAAAAAATGACACTTATGTACAACTACTGTGATATTTGTTAAGTAAATTTATACCTCAGATTGTTAAGCGTGGCCGCGCTCGCTAAGTGTGTGTGTGTGTGTGTGTAAAAGACTGTCGACACATATTTCATCATTTTTGTTTTTAATAAAGTTCGTTCATTTTTTTTTTTTTTTTTTATAATCTGACAGCGTGTACTGATTGTATTCATTTTAAATAATAACTGTATTTTTCCTTTTTTTTTCTTTTTTCTTACCGACTTCCCCCCGCCCCCCCCCCCCCTTATAGGTATAATTATTTTTAGTTAATTAGGAATTTTCGTAGTTTTATTTACCACTCCTAGGTTGACCACGTATGATTTTTGTACTGAACGATGATAGCTCTAATATGTGTTTGTTTTTATACTATATACTATATATAATATATAAATATATATATTTATAATTAATACTCTTACGATATATATATATTTATAGAGTTAACCTAATTAGCGATGTTGCTTTTATATTATTTTTATTGTTAAAATATTATTATTATTACCATCCATCATTATTGTATTTTAATCAAATTTATTGTCATCTGCATGATTTTGGTTTTAGGGTATTTAACCTATTGGAACAAAAAAAAAAAAAACAAAAAAAAATTTTAATATATAAATAAAGTATGCACTTATATAAAATTGACGGCATTTTTTTTTTATCATCCTACCATAACGGGCTGGTCCTGTTTTAATTGTGTAACCAACCATCCTTATTGTGTCTAATCCATACATGGTTATTACCGTAATAACTTCTTAATAAATATTATTGTTATATGGTTAAGGCATTTGTCGAGGCAATTGCCTGTCGAAAGCCCTGGTGTCGTACGGTAGCAGTAAGCGTGGTTTACGGGACTTGTGGACGCCTTGTCCAGTCCATCGAAGAAGGATGATCGGTAAGTTGTGGTTTTATGGATGCTTTATTGTGTTCCTATTTTGCACTATTTCTTGGCTATTCGTAAAGCAAGCTACGTCTGTTGCAATTTTAATTTTTAATTTTATCCATCTTTTTAACAGGGCAACGCTTGCTGATCAACCGTCGGAAGCTGCTCGACAATTGCCACCATGCCTTTTGAGATAGGCTGAGTCAAACTACAGTTGTTTTGCCCACCAATTTATCGCATTGAGTCGATTAATTGAATTTAATATTGATGTATTTATTTAATTGTTTATAATTTATGTATTGCAATGTTCTTCTTTGTCGTATTGTTAATATTTATATATATTTCTAATATGTTATTAGCATGTAAATTGCCGCAAGGATTAAATAAATTATATTTTGTGAACATTTATTTGTTTTGATAATGTTCAAACAAATATAATATGCATATGTTTAAGGAGTTGATGAATGCCACAGATTATGCTCGACTATTCAGAAATTATATTACAATGTGAATAAAACGTGACTACAATAAGTCCTATTTTGAGTTGGCTAATAGTAAGATATATTATTACACTTGTATGATTGAATATTTTTTTCCTGGTATAGTCTTGAGTTCTCAGTTGTTTTCAATAAGCTTCTCGTGAATAGCGCCAAGTGCCTGCAAACATATTATAAACTGACTTGAGTAACGCCAACGATAATATTACTATCCAAGTAAACCCATCTGGCAGATGGCTAACGAAAGAACCTACAGCTGCAGAAGTCTTAAAAAGTTCATACAGGGTGATCCGTTAAGGACAAAGCGACTCAGTTTCTTTTAAATAATAGTAGTTTTTTTTTTAGACACTACAATGTTATAAAATTACTAAATGTACTTCTATTACCTTTTTCTTGGTGTTTTCTAGAGCTCTTGTCAACTTTTGAAACTTAAATGGAACATTATTTAACCAAATTTTTATGTTAAGACTAATTTGCTGAAACTGTTGACTGGTCGATTACCGGTTTTGGATAGTTACAGCAAATTATTGTGAAGTTTCAAAAGTTGATGGAGCTCAGGACAAAAAAAAAAGACAGAGTTTTGTTTAATATATTTTTAAAAAATAGCACAAATTAAAGTGTTCCCAAAAAGAAAAACTACAAAATTGTATTTAAGAGAAAATTAATGTATTGTTTTTAACCAATCACTCTGTATTCAACATTTTGTAAATAACTTTTTTGGAGCATTCGATTTCTATACAGGAAACTTGGAACATGTTTAAATTAAACTTATTATATTGGGTGCAGGTTTATTGGCCCATTAGGTCATGCCTATATTGTTTCAATATAAAGTGCACTATTGATAGAATTCTTAGAGGGATAACATATAAGACATTAACGTGGAAATACTAAGTACCTTGAAATATTTCACAGTCTTCACTTTTAATTCCATCGTGGCTTCTTCATCACACAATATAAGCGTGTCGGGGTGCTGTTGTAACGCTGACACTGTCCACATGTGATTGACACCTTCTTCGACTGCCTTATGAAGGGCCAACGCCTTGTGAGATCCCGTGATCAGTATCATCACCTGGAACCGGATGATTCAAGAAACCATTATGTCTTTATTATAACTATAGTTTATAAATTCTATTTATTGAGCTAAAAAGTTCACCATTTTCTTGATTCAAATGGAGAAAAACTGTGTCTTTAGACACAAGCAGTGCCAAACAAATATCTAAAAATCCTTTCCCCTAAACTGGGTGGAAGTTTTTTTTCAGTAAAGTTTTACGGCTTAAGGTCTGAAAATCAGAACAAAAGTACATCTAGAGGTTGCAACATTTACAAATTAAATCTGCTGTCAAACTTTTTATTAAGGAAATCCCCCCAAAAATTATACCTTGACGGTTTATATTTTGTTCTTCGTATGCCTGACCTGTCTGTAATAAACTTAGATTTCCGTTGAAATGGAATTTTAATGTTACTGGACGAAGGAGCTAATAATTGCCTTGCACATTAAATTTCTTTTAGCTGGTATAGTTGGTACTAGATTTTGAAGGAAATAAAAACACACACAGTAAGTCAATACAGTACTTCTTTCTCGACTTTTTAAATATTAAATGTACAAAAACTGTACAACATAGTCTAAACTGCTGTCTGTGCTATTGTCATATAATGGCCTGGTGTGCTTAACTTGAGGGTGGTTAGGGGAGGTTAGTGTTGGCAATGTTAGCGTTGGTAACACTGGTGACCAGGGCCGCCAGTGTACAACATTATTAATATTATACCAAGAGTCATTTCGAACACTGCCTTTGAGTGTTGTTGACTTTTGTTTATAACGTACATATTTAATTAATATACAAAATTGGATTGTTTTTTTCACACAAGTTTATTTCGTTCTAATAATACTAGGGAAGTTTTCAACTTCCTTTCGAAACTCGTTCAGGCCGTAAGGTCAGGGAAGTCCGAACTTCCTTGGCGTCCTCTAGTTGTGCCAAAGTTATCTTGCTTAAGATGTATTTTTATGGACTCTGAATGTACGCGCTTACCGTTTGGGCGCTCATGACGGTTCCCACGCCGACCGTCAGAGCTTGTTTGGGCACCTTGTCGATGTCGTTGTCGAAAAATCTGGCATTGGCCTCCAAAGTCTCTTGTGCCAACGTCTTGACCCGTGTCTTGGACACCAGGGAAGAACCGGGTTCGTTGAACGCTATGTGACCGTCCGGACCTATGCCTGTGGTAGGTAGATGTATACATATTATATGGAAATCCGGAAAGTTGTCGAATCAAGCAAAAAAAGTTCTCAAGTCTGTGTGTGTACTTACCACCGACGAACAAGTGTACGCCTCCGGCCTCCTCGATGAGCCGTTCGTAGTTCTGGCACTCGGCTTGTAAGTCGGCGGCATTGCCGTTAAGTATGTGTGCGTTTTTCGGGTCTATGTCTACTTGAGTGAAGAAGTTTGTCATCATGTAACAGTGGTAGCTCTCCGGGTGATTTCTGGGCAAGCCTTTCGTGGACGACACGGTCCAAAAAATTAATAACATTACAATATTCGTATTGTTTTATTACATGTAGGAGATTGCAGAATAAAAATTATCCCTCCAAAAAAATGGAATATTATTTGTTAGGGCTGGTAACACTGGTCCAGCGGTGTACAACACTATTTATAAGAAGAGTCGTTTTTTGAACTGCCGTTGATTGTTGTTGAGTGTCGTTTTTTTTTTTTTTGTTAATAATGTATTATATTAACTTAATAATTAATTCACGAAATTGGATTGGTCTTTTAAAACAAGTTTATTTTATTGTAATATATTATTTATACAATTGTCAATTCATGCGGTTAAGCAGATTGTGGACATGTGTGAGATTATCAATAAAATATATTATATTATAATGCAATAATGTATCCTTTATTTTTCAAGTGATATTTTTGGATTATTCATTATAATTTCCATAAGAAACATTTGCAGGATCAATAAAATATCAACACAACGACGAATTGAGCAGAAAACGTGAAAAATGTATTTCACCGAAAACGAAACTGTTTTTGGTGTCAATTGAAAATATTGTCTTAGTTGAGTTTAGAATGCGGAAGAATGGAAATGGCCATTATTATAACAGCTGGAATAAACATAAACGGTCAGAATGTAATTTCTCTCCTTTTTGAGGGCTTCCATAGTAAAAAAAAAAAAATAGTCTTGACACAGTAACATAAGACAGTAGTTATATAATATTTAAAAAAAAATCAAATGGCCATATTTTTAAGATGTGTATTATGTTATTGTAATGTTTGAAGTAGTAAAAACCATAAAAACGAGAAAACTTCAATACCACCGATATGTATTACAATAAATAATCCAGGGTAAAATAGTTGAGGGAAGGAGCTGTGGAAGACCTCAAATGTCTTGGACGGACAACCTCAGAAGATGGTCCAACACATCTACGAATTCACTATTCAGTGCAGCCATCAATAAACTTAAGCTCACAGTAGAAAGTATTGTAAGTATTGTATAAATATTACCAATATAAATAACCTAATGCATATATTATGCACTTACATGCAGTGAAGGGTTAATATCAATATACTGAACGATATTTTATGGGGAATGAAGAGACTCTGAAAGACTACTTAAGAAATACTGGGACTTAAACTCACCAACGTACTCGTCCATGTTGAAAGTCTTGACGTACTTGAAAGAAACTTCACCGGCCCTGTAGTACTTGATCAGGTACTTGTACATACCTAGCGGAGTTCCACCTGAAGTCGGTCTGAAGTTAATTGGTTTGCTTGTAAATAAGAAAGTGCGTTATTATATACTTACCCGTAGGAAGACCCAAGACAAAGTATCGGTCGGGCCCCGGGTTGAAGTCTTTGATTCTCTTGGTCACATACTTGGCCGCCCATTCCGAGACTCTATCAGCATTTTCAGTTATTATCATTCTCATTTTGGCTGCATAAAGACAAATAAAAGGTTGTGAAATACAGTGACCGAGCCAGATAATACAGGAATAGGTCAACAATTTCAAAACAACGCAACATGTACCTATCTATGTCATAGGCCCTATTTATTGAGGAGTTAGGTCAAGGTAGTTTTTTGCCAAAATCTTAATCTTATGCACATCTTATTCCTTTGATAATTCACTAACTGTTTGGTTCTCTCGAGTTGTACTCGTACAACAAATAATTAGTTGGATTTGTGTATTGGCAAGAGCTATATATTTGTATTAATTGTCAATTGCACAACCATTGAAATCATAGTAGGTATGTGAAAAATAAAATAAAAACACATCATTGTAAATACAATACCTACTCAGCGACGCATCGAAGGTAAAAATATAATGCAATTAAAAAAAATGTTTATTAAATTAAAATGAAACTATACAACTAACTCGATACATGCACAGTATAAGTGTTCATGGACATTTCTTAAGGAGTTAGGTATAGATCTTAATTTTAAGGTTTAACCGTGATGTGTACTTATTAGTCCGGTAATTAGGTGTTTTTTTTTTTTTTTGTAGTTAAATGCAAAAATATATTTTTTAAACTTTTTTAGGCATAGTTTTTATTTATTTGTATACAATAATTTTTTACATCATTTATTTTCTCACAAGGTCCGAGCTCAATCGTAAAAACAATAGGTATGGTATAAATATAATGTTAATAAACACAATTATTAATGACTTGACATAGGATCTGGCCGTGAATGGTAATTGCTCTAGCTGTGCTTTATATGTGTGTATATATGGAAGAGGAAGTGTCATGAGGCCAACTGCATAATAATATCCAATGGTCTTAATAAAAAACTTAAATAATAAATGTCCGATATAGATATAGTAGTTTTGTAAAAAAAGAAAACGGTCGATTAAAAAAATAGGTATCACATTTGATATATATATATATATTATGGCCTATGAACTTTTGAATTGAGTAAACAATTCTAAAAATGTAAATACACGGATTTGATTCTATTGTAAAAATTGATGGGCAAGCTAGTTTTAAAATATTTTTCTAGCAAAAAAAATATATATATATATATATATATTTTAAATGTTTGACAATAATTAAAAGTAATAACGTTTCATTACAATAATTACTATACTGTTATTGTTGGTAAATAGTGTAATTTCCATTTTGCGCATCGTCAGGTTAGGATAGAATAGGTATTAGTGTAATATATTACTATTTGTTCTATTATTTTAAGACACAAATAAGTAATAGTCAGTAACGTACTAAGATTTGATAAAGAAATCAACGATTTGACACCTAACAATGTTACATAAGAGAAATTCAGTAAAATAATGGTCAATATTAACTACATAGTATTATAGCAGATATGGCCTGGTGTCGGCGTTTACTGTAAAAATTACCAAAATTATTTTCTTAACAAGTTCTACATGCAAACAAATTTTAGTTTATTGATTGTTACTCGGTCAACCTGACTAAGACTCCATTTTGTACCAACTATATCTAATATATTTTAGACATTTTGTATCCCAAGGAAACGTTTTTACAACGCCCCTTTAAAAAACAGCAGCTTTTTCAAACTAAACAAAAATTGAGCATTATAAAAAAATACAAAACATCTTAACGATGACTTTAAAATAAACCTTAAATTAAATCTACTCACTTTCAAATTTATTAACACACATTATAATAATTAATGTAGCCTTTATAGGTCCATTACACTTTAAAGCGTATCGAATAAAGTTTTGACAAATTTAAAGATGAACATTTTTTTTTTAAACAGACTTGTGCTGTTAATGAGTTATTTGGAGTTGAATCTTTTTATTTTTATTTTTTTTTTACACTGAAATTAAATTTAAATTTACTAAAATAATTTAATTAAAACGGTGATTAAGTGGATTTCACTTGTAAGCCAACTAAATTGTATACCATGTAATTAGGATTCAATAACTATCGACGAGTAATTATAGATAATTATATTAATCGATACATTTAGTTTAATTAATAGAGGAAATAGACATTACGATATTGTTGTAATAATCGTTAAGTAATAATCATCTAGATGTATAATGACGTTTCGAAAAGAGATAGGTACAGTTTTAATGAAATTTTTTCATACCTTAAATCAATGTTTCTAGTTTTGTGTTACATATTTATTACATGTGTTACGAATTATTGTGTTAAAAAAAATATAATAGCATTCATTCAAGTGTTCTTACCGATTTGATTTCTTATATCAATTCAATACGACGTGCAGCATTCAAGGCGGGCGTGTCACTGCTTGTGTTATTTAAATGGCAACTATTTAGCTTCTACACTCAGCTCGGCTTTGTCTGTAGACATGGAACACATGTAATATTCTATATACGTATATGTAATACAATGTATATTATTATGACCGATAAGGTTGTTGATGTTTATTTTCTCTGTCATTATCTTTTTAGTTTGTGTACTATGTGCCCATATAGTAGTAATTACTAATTATTCTGTATCCGGTGCAGCAACACGTTTATGTGAACAAAAGTTATTTTTCTTTATCGCCCGCTAAAGAAACTACTTAATTATATCGACATTAATATTGTATTAATACTATATTATCGTGTTTATAAGCATTGGATGTCGAATAAAAGAAAATATTAGGTATTATACAATATAATAATATTTCTGTCTAAGAAAATAATAACGATTAGGTATATCGTTTCGTTTTGAAATAATAGTTTTATCTGATTTATTTTACTGTATCTTAAAAAACGTATCAAACATCCGTACACTTTTTTTTATTGTATTTTTCAACGATAAAGAAATGGAACATATTTCATTATATCATGAAAAATGATTTGTTTATTTACACACAACAACATAACATGGTAACGATTTGAAAACAATATAAACAAAATATAGGAAACACAATATTTTTACAAAACAATTATTAAAAAAATAAATTATTACAATAACATTAACGATCAAAAGTATTTACAGTAAATTAAACGGATAGGTTGAAAATGCAAGAAAAGGCAACAGTATTAAGTAGAATCAAATAAATATTTACAGTAAAAATAACAAATATGGGGGAAGAGGGGGGGGGGTAGAAGGTGCAAGCCACAAGGGTACGTTAGAAACCGGAATAATAAAATCCTCTGTCGACGGGCTTGTCCGGGTACGGTTGCTTGCTTCTAAGGCTCTTGGCCTCTGGGTCTTTACCCTCGCGACCCTGGCTCTGTATTCGGCGTTCCCCGTGGCGGTGCTTTGGCCGAAGCGGGCCGCCACGATCGGTGTCCTACGTACGGGTTCTTGGGCCGGTCGCGTTTCGGCGGGTTCCCGGGACGGGCCGCTGGCAACGTCGTCGCCGCCGCTATGGGCTTCGATGGTCGGTGGTTGGACCTAGGTGGCTTCGTACAGAAGTGCGTCAATAATGGCTTTGTACGCACCGGCAACAGTTGACCGTGCCCAGCTGTTCAGACTGGTGGCCAGACAGCCTGACTTCTTGCGGCCGACGTCGTTGGCGTTTACGGGAAACAATTTTTTACAATGTGAGAACAGCTTGTAACAATGATAACAGACCAATGCGGTGGAAAAAATAACGTAACTAATAAGAGCAATTAAACATATGAGAATATAAAAATACATTACATAAAAGAAAAACATTAAAAAACATATAGTATAAAAAATTATTGGCTTTGGAATAAATTTACAAGAAAGACATAGGATTATTAGGAAATATAAAAAAGTTACCAAAATGGAGGAATATAAAAAATAACGGACACAGTCAACGTGGGCGGAATACCAAGAAAAAATAATAAATAATAAATTGCGAAGTGCACTTATACTAGAAATAAAACGATATAAATGAACAAAGACCATAATTAATTGGCATGCAAAATTTAACCCATCCAGAGCCTGTCGCACGTCCGCGGCATCTTCGCCGGCTTGGTCGGCTTTGGACTTGGTGGGTGCCATACGATCTAACACTTTCATAATGCCAATTGACAGCCCGTTCTTCAAAATATTGTACAAAAAAGACATTGCTTTAGGAGAAAAGGTTATTTTTGATAAAGAGAACAAGAGAAATATAAAACATGAAAACGATACACAGTACAATTTTAGACAAGTCAATAGTTACAAAAAAACAACGGCCGTCGTGACGACCGTTAGTTTATTTGCAACATTTGATTGTATAATATAGTAGCCAGACATATTATTATTATATTTGTTTGTTTATCTAAAGTCTTAACACCCCAAATGGGTAACGAGTACAGTTATTAAAAGTTTCACAAAAGAATATACAGCAACAACTTGGGTATTAGATATACAAACAGAAATAATAACAAATAAATATATACACAATAAACACATGTAAGCTTAATTACTATTCAATATATAATATTTTTTAATTTAATTTGGGAATCAAAAGAAAAATCAAAATTAAGTACATTGTCACATGCATCTAAAATGCGATACTCTGGACTATATTTAATTAAGTTTGTGTAGCATTGTGGTATTAAGAACGGGCGATTATTTCTTAAATTAAAGGTTGGAATTTTAAAGTTTATTTTGCTTAGGAATTCTGGACAGGATAATTTACCATTTATTAATTTATGAATAAAACCTAAGTCGTTATATAACCTTTTAGAAGCCAATGACTCTGAATCCAATTCTACAGCTAAAATATTAGACATAATATACGTTGTACCCATAAATGCCCGATTGATGTGTGTATGGATTAAATAAAGACAAATAATAAAGGTTAGGCTTAGGTATACTCAAAAACGGAATTCCTTCTTCGGATTTGATTTAATAATATATGTTTTGTTTGGGAAAGCGCTTGCTATATAATAGCATAGAAAATCTAAGGTTATACTGGGATTAGGTATATCATAAGTTGACAGTACTGTCGAATCAGATATACACTTTTTTAGGATTTGCCAACACATCCGTGTTAAAATAGGTAAGTATTACTACTGCGTTGTATCTCATTAGATTATTTACAAAAAACAAAATGTATTAAACTTTTCATGGATCCAGTGAAAAATTTCCAGAAAACTACTAGGTATGTATACATTTTTGTACACATGGTCTTTTTTTTTTTTAATATCCTATGTTTATACTAAAGAAATAAATCATATCATAAAGAAATGGAAAATATTTTATTTAACAAATTTTTTTTTTTTATTTACACAGAATAACATGGTAACAAACGATTTAAAAACAATTAACAAATAGGAAAAATGCCAAGTACAATAATTATACAAAATAATCAACAAGAACAACAAGCCACAAGGGTATGTAAAAACCCCGAATAGTGAAATCCTTTATCGTTGGACGTGTCCGGGCCTTCTCCTCTAGCTCATAGCGATAGCCGTTAACCTGGCTTTATACTCGGCGTCCACGATGGTGGTGGTTTGGCCAAAGCGGGCCACTGCTCGGCCGATCGCATTGACGTCTGTGGCTTCGAATGGGACCGTACAGCCTAGGCCTTCATGCATTCCGGACAGCAGTTTGTCTTTAAGGGCCTTGCACGCATTCGAAACCGTTGAGCCATTGCTTTTGGAGATAAAGTTGATTTTTAATTAGATAAAGATTTATAAAACAAAACAAGTCACAGTGAAATTTTAGAATATTGTACACAAAAGCCATTGCAAAGTTGATTTTTGATTAAAGATTCACAAAGATTTATAAGACAAGAAAACATGAAAACAATACAAAACAAGTCGATAGTTACGATAAAACAATTTGCAACATTTGATTGTATAATATAGTAAATTAATTAACAAATAGTAAAAATGCCAAGTACAATAATTATACAAAATAATCAACAAGAAACAAATGACAATAATAATAATATGAATCAAAATAGGTCTGGAGGTACAAGCCGGATATGTCCGTGCCTTTTTCTCAAGCTCATAGCGATGGCCGTTAACCTGGCTTCATACTCGCCGTCCACGATGGCGGTGGTGGTTTGGCGGAAGCGGGCCACCGCGTTCCTGTTGCTCGGCCGGCCGCATTGACGTCTGTGGCTTCGAATGGGACCGTACTGCCTAGGCCTTCATGCATTCTGGACAGCAGTTTGTCTTTGAGGGTCTTGCACACATTCGAAACCATTGATCGTACCCGACGGTTGAGACTGGCCAGAGGGCCTAGTGTTTGGCGGCCGACGTTGTTGGTGATTAAAATAACAAAATACATTACATAATAGGTAAACATAAAAAAACATACAGTATTAAAAATGATTGGCTTTGGAAAGTGCCGAGAAATAAATTGACAAGAAATAGTAAGGATTAACAGGAAGTATATATAAAAAAGTAACTACAATAGATGAATATAAAAGCTAATGGACACAGTCAACAAATTGAAGAAATCAAACGACACGACTGAATAATGTGCAAAAATAACCAATTTAAAGCCACTGTTCGTGCGTCCATGGGTTTGGCGGCATCTCTGTTGGCTTGGTCGGTAGGTTGGACGTCGGCATTGACTGTTTGCGTATTGGCTTCGGGCTTGGTTTGCGCGATACAGTCCAAGACTTTGACAATTTCAATTGACAGTCCATATCTTTAGTTTATTACCAAGGGAAGATATAGAAAACACGGTGTTGCAAACACCAATGGAAATTGTGGTATCTATAGAAAAAAAAAAAAAATATATTAGTAATAATTGTTAACTAATTAACATGTTGAAGACGAAAAACTAGTCGATAATAAATGTTGTAAAGATTTTAATTTTTCTGCCAAACTGTTGTCGTTATTCTTTTGATATATTTTAAGACATTATTTATTCGTTTAATTTAATATACATCGTTTAATAGGAAATCTCTGCGCTACTTGTCTTTAAAAACCAAACGACTATTGACTTTGAATTTAAATATCTACAAAGTTACAAGTAAAAAATCGATTATTATTGAAAGTTTCTGAGATTCAAACGACAATTTTAAAATGTAATTTTTACTACCAAGATTTTTCCATGTTTGAATTTTCGACAGCAGCTGTACATCATAAACTTCGTCGCCTTAATTAGGTTTGGCCACAAGACGGTAAATAGTCGGTATAGCAAGGCAATGGTATAATTGTTTTAAATTTAATTATAACATTTTACCAGTTGTTAAAATCGGCATTCGGTCATAGGTTCCCAGAGTCATAAATAACCACAATGGTTACCACACTGTTATCACAAAATGTTATCACACGGTTATCATCACAAAAAAAACTTAATTTTATTTAGTAAATATTTCAATATTTTTTATATTTTTATTAAATATACTAAACAATTTTCATAAACTGCTATTTTATTGTTTTATAAAACCACACTTCATGTCTTCATTTATTTTTATAAAATGTCCTAAACTTTATGTGGAATATAACATTGATTACAATTATAACACTCATAAGACTACTGTAAATAAATTTTGAGTCATTGGTTGTATTGCTTAACATAAAACGCAATAACAGATATAAGTTAAAGAAGAGTAAGACTGAACAGCTAGAAACTAGAAAATGTAGGCCATCCTGGGTGATTTTATCTGAAGGACATTGAAGTTAGAGTACATAATTTAGATGAATTTTATTATTATTATATTACAACTTGTTTAATATCAATTAAGTTTGATCTGTGAAGGGGAATTCATGTTAAAAACAGTGGTTATGGACGAAATATGACATATTGTATATAAAATACAAAATATAACAAATTGTATTATTAATTATAATTATAAAACTAATTTAAGAAAATGTATATGTAGAGAAGTTTAGAATAAATGAATGAAAAACCTTCACTCCACTTAACATTTTGGGAAAACAATAGTGAAATATTAGTTAAGAGTAATAATACTAGTAAATTCTTATTAAATAATATAAATTGTTCATAATGATGTTTTTGATTTTCTTATAAAGTTTTTCTATGTATTAGTTATAATTGTATGTACATAAAAATATATCAATACAAGTTTTAATTAAAATTGAGGAAATAATATTTGTTAATACTTAAAATAATATTTTGAGTTTCGACTGTCGTAAATTAATTATATGATGTGAAAATTGACTATAAACACATTTATATATTTTTTAATTAAATTTAAAATAACTAAATACTTTTAAATTTTATTTTATTTAAATATGTATAGTATCATATTATATATATTTTGTGCCCCTCATATCTACTAAAATAAAATACTGATAACTAATGTGCTAATAAATAAAATAATAAATACTTAATATGATCACACAATGCACACATTGATACAAAAGATTCAAATTATTATTTGTATACTCTACAAAAAAAATATATTAGGACCACTAAAATTTAAAATATAAACTGTATAAGTCTGTAACGAACATATCTATTTTAGTGGGGTTAACCTATTATTTTTTTTATACAGGCACACAGTTAAGGTTCAGATATTCTGAGTCTAGTGTACCTAACAGCTAGTCTCAATTTCATATACTGTTACGGTGCAGTGCGGTGAGTGGACCGCACTCATGACTGTCCGCCTTCTAGGGCTAAATCGAGGGACCCTAGCCGGGACAGGAAGCTAACCAGTATCTACCCTGAAATAATCCTTGAGACTCTTTATAAATTTATATAACCGCCCGAAGAGTAAAAGGGCCGGTCGTACCTTGAATGAACTAAAATGAACTAAACTATGAATTAACTAAACTCTCAAGTTGCAACGTACAATACTATTTAATTAGAAAAGCTAAACGCCGAATAGAAATTAAGTTAACGATTAAAATATTAAAATAGCTGGAAAACAATAAGTATAAAATGTATAGAAACCTGTACCTAGGGTCCTTGGTATCCGAAGACAAGAACAGGCGGAGTGACACGCACAAAAATATAAAAAGATGCCGAATTGATTAGGTAATTATTAGAGACTCCATAGATTTGGTTTGGAAGTAACGATAGCTACCAGCCATGCACAATAATATTATTGCTAATAATAAGTCAGGCAAAAGCCATCGTTACAATACTATGTAGAGAAATCTATCACTTGTTTAATATATTTGTGTATTAATGGAAGTTTGAAACTTCCTTTACAAGCATATTTTTCCACAATATTCCTTAAAATATTTTTGTTTAAGCAGACTAAAATTATACGAGTTCATTACCAATTTGAATATCATTATGAAGTAATAAAAGATTTTGAACCTTTTTAGAGGGATTCACATAGGCGCAAATATTATGGTTGTTTAGTAGTACCCCGAGAGTTAAAAATACGTAGTAATTAACTACACCTACATAATCTAAATGTATGTATAATCAATGTAAAAGTGTTTCAAATATTATGAATAATAATGTACATTGTGAGTGAGTGCAGACTACAGGTCGTACTTACATCTTACTTGACCTAAACTTTTACGTAGCACACCTAATTAGTAATAAGTATTGTATTATTAGGCTGGTGCCTTGTTATGAAGTTCTTTCTGATCTGTTTAAAAAGTAACTAAGTTTACTAAGTGTTCACCGTGGTCATAAGTCATAATCCATTATTCCAGCATAATTTTTTAGAGAGTTATACATATTACAGAATCAGGAGTCTGGACAAGATTAGATAACCCATTGAAGATCAATCATATGACAAATTCTAAGTACGCCACTATTATTTAATACAGACACGTATTCTTAAGTATAGCGCATACGCTGTATAAATACATAAAAATAATATGTTGTTTACACCGCTTGCACTGTTACGAACAAAAGCCCAGTAAGCAATTTAGTGCCTACCTATTAATTAATGTTGTGCTTTCACCTAAAGGTATTTAAGCCCAAGTATTAGGTATATTGTATACCTTGGTTTCAAAAAATGAAAAATGACCATATTACAATTTATTTATTTATTAGAATATAAACGGGCTTGATACTGTCCTTGATTACAGAAAAATATAATACAGAATTCATCATGGAGTTACAAATAAAAATAAAAATTAAACCTATAAGTACTCAATATAAACTTACAATTTATAAGTTTAAAAAAATAGTCTAGAAAGGAAGGGTCCGCATTGGAGGAAGAAATCTTCACATGGAATGTGTAACAAATGGCTTGCAAACTACAAAAACTTTTGTTGAACCCTTTCAAGCTGCATAGAATTAGAAGCAGTATGGAGATCCTAAACAACAGTGCCATATTTCAGAATCGGGCAATCAAGCTCACAAAAAAGTGACCTGATATACATTCCAAGTCAAAATTTTTTCAAATTTGGTTCAATATTAGTGTAACGCATACATTTTATAATGTATTAACTAAATGAATGTATATAACTTAAATCATGCAGCTTATTTAAATTCGATAATCTTAATTTAACCCATTACAAGACTTCGTTGAGTGCTAAATGTTTGCACAGGTTCTTATTTAGTGTGACATTACTATGTGTAGTATTATTTTTATCCTGGATATACAGATCGCCGATGACGGAGGTCTAATTAAGAGTCATTTAAGATAAATCAAATTTATTGTACGGGGATGACTTAACATATGTAATTCATATTCCTAATTCCAGTACGTTTTTTTTATCATCACATTAATAAGACAAGTCAAGCCTTCTTTTTGAATATTAAACGATTATATCATAACGGCTTAGTTTATAAAATCTATAAAAGTATTACATTTTAGTGATATTCTCGGTAGTTTAATATTTTTTTTTTAATTTCTATATTAAAATTTGCAATAATAGTGTCAAATGATAACACGCTAGTCTCAACAGTGATAAGGATAAACATTTAAAAAAAACCTAAGAGGAAATATTTCTCCATCCTAAATATCGTTCGGAGTTCGGACTTAAAATACACACCAAAAAAAGGTTATACATTCTTAAAATAAGTACAAGGACCTTCTATAAGTTTAATTTTAAAATGATCACCATATTTTTACCATGTCAGTTAATTATTTAAATATAAACCCTTTGTAAAAATAGATTTAATTTATAAAGATCTACTTATTAAACTTAATAAAAAGTTGTTACATGAGAATATAGCCTGATATTAAATAGGTATGTAGTCAATAGAGCAAATCTCGAAATGGTCAGTAACATTAAAGACTTGGGTGTCATCCTGTCTACCGACTTATCTTTCTACACATATATCCACTCAATGTGTGCTAAAGCCTACCGCAATCTAGGGTTTATTAAACGAAACTGTAGTGAATTTAAAGACTTAGGGTGTCTCTCAGTACTTTATTCAGCCTTAGTGCGGTCTGGCCTGGAATTTGGGTCGGTGGCCAGGTCGGTCTTATTGATAAAATTGAAAAAATCCAGAGAAAATTTTTAAGATTTGCAGCACTTAAAATTAATATGAAGGTCACCCAATTGACGACATTGAAAATCGCTGTAACCTTGTCTGGTTAAAAAATATACGGTCTTATATGGATACTCTATTTATTTTTAAAATTGATAGCCCGGATATGTTGATAGCCCGGAACTTTTAGAGAGAGTATCTCGCTTAGTGCTGTAACGCAAAAGCCTTCACGTCCATTCTACTTGTTACAACCATACGGCGATAACAATCCCTATATTGACATTTATCTGAAATAACTTCTTATTTAGACTTAAGTACTATTATACTATTACGTCTCTGCGTTCTACATATGACGACATCCAGGAACACTTCTATCAATGGTCTAGTTATGTGTCCAACTATCACCGTCCAGGGCCAACCGACCACTATAAGTACTCACTGCGAACAGGGCTAAATCGGTCAGACGTCGTCTAGTATTCTACAGCTCAACGTCCTGTTATTAAGTGCCCTATTGTCCAATACTTAACTGTTATTTTACATTGTGTTGATAAACGTTTCATAGTTAATATTCATATTAAAAGTTATTACTAACTTTTGGTTGTTAATTCTGTTCTGCCTACCCTCTTCCATCCTCACACGGCCTCCAGGCATAACAGTGCCTAGTGTAAACAATCGGCACAATAATACTTTTTTAATTGAGCATCAATCAAAGAATTATGTAATAAATAGCCCTATATGTAGAATGTTAACTATATGTAATAAATTGTCTAATTTTGATTTTTTCTTTGATAATATATGTAAATTAAAATTAAGTGCTTTAAATTTAATGTGATTGATATATGTGTTAGTTAATAAGGTTGTTAAATGTTTATTGTGTTAATGTTAAAGTTGTTTAATGTTATTACTGTATTACATCTGTACTCATTGCTCCCTGCGGGGCGTTACTTTATTAAATAAATAAATAAATAAATATCTATTAATACTTGTAATTGAACTTAGCTGTCTAGACAGTATACACATTATTTACTAATCTATTGGACCCCAGACAGGTTCCTAGAATTTTAAGGGACAATAATCTTTTTTTTTTAATTGAGTTTCTGATGTGTAACGTGTTACCTATAAAAATAGATAGTACCCGGTTAAGTTTATACCCGAGTTCATAACTTAATAACCATTTCATTTTCAAGAGTGTTTTTATACTTTTGCTGAAAGAACGTACATAATTATTATTTTATACTTAACATTTATTACTAATTTTTTTCTAAACTATTTAAAATTTTAAATATTATAATGGCTCAAATAAGACAATTAAATCGAGTTCCAGGTCTTAGGAAAAACGAAGTTATTGAAAAAGACGATTTAGGTTTTATATATTGGAATCATCATAAAAATCGTAATCCAATGACCTATAGATGTAGACTTTATAAATCTGTGACTAAGTAAGTAACTAAGAAACTTAATAGATATGTATTTGTATTTATAGTAAGAATGTAAATAGGCACAAAAATTATTAGAGAGTTAAAATTATATTTAAAATAGAGCCCATCTTTTTTTTTTAATATATATATTTCATTTAAATTTTTAACGTGCCTAATCCTAATTGTCATACAAAAATGTAAATTATATGAAAAGTTTTTTAAATTAAATAATATACAATGTATTAATTATTAAAAAAATAGCTTTTTATTTCATTAACATTAAAAAAATTAGAGTGGAAGACAACACTTTTAATAATAATAATGTTAATACTATTTTGAACAATTAAACTAACACAATATTGATTATTACAATACGATTAATATAGTAAATAAACACACATATACAAGCATAACGTCAGAATGAGTGAGTCCATCACATTGTTTTTGAAATGTTGTTATCTTTTGATTTTATTATAGGTGGTTTTGCTCTAAAACCACTCTGGACTGAATAAAATGCATTCTGTGTAGCTATGTTATTTAGATGCTGTCAAGGATGCTGTGATAGTCTGAAAACCATAAAAAAAATCCTTATTACTGAACTAATAATTACACATCACAGTTTAACCTTTAAAAAAAAAGGTTGCAAAAAAAATTGTCTACACCTAACTCATTAATAAACAGGAGGTATAGCATCGTATTAATTCCAGCTCTTATGAATTTGTAGATTTTTTGGTTAAATGGCTATAGATAATACATTTATAAATAGGTATTTTTTTTAAATTATATACAAAGGACTCCTCTGTCTATTAATAGAAAACCCAGTCAATACCTTTGAGTTCAATTTTAATATTGAATTATTAGAAAAACTTTCCGAATAAAATTGATCTCTTCTTATTTCTATTTTAACTAATGCTTGATAGATATGCAATATGTACTATGAATGAAATTACTTAAATAATTTATAGATGCCCAGCAAGAGGAAAAGTGTACCAAGAAACACCAAATGTTATGATTTTGGTACAAAATCATAACCATGGACATAATAATGAAGTGCCTATACGACGGTTTAGAAACCAAATTAATGCAAGAGCTCAAAATGAGTTAACTCCAATGCGAGTTATTTATAATCAGGTTCTATTAAATTTATATAATTTATAATCTGACATTTAGTTAAAAACAACATATAAAATATAATTGATATCAATAAGTTATAATTATAATCATTATTCTATTGACAGTTGATAAAATATAAGTTTAGCGCCAATGCAGAGCTGGGAAAGTATTGTTTTTACAATGATGTATTTTTGATTTTTGATTCCGGACCCAAAATATTTTTTAAATCCCTAAACCTATAACCAAGATTTTGCATGTAAAAAGTACATTAATGGGCCAAATATTAATATCACCTCTTTTCCTTCAAAATCGTAAAAACACTCTAAAAGTGTACACATTTTGTAACTTAAGATTAAGGCGCTTTATAACTTTTTGAAAAAAAGTCAAATGAGTTCCAAATTTGTATGGAATATTCTTTACACGTGGTCTTATCGTTTAACGTTGACAAACCAAACAAATATCCCCAACTTCACTGTTCTGTTTTTTTTTTTTTAAATTGTATTTTCTAAAAGATTTTAAATTTTATTAAAAAGTGTGTAACATAATACTTATGTAGACTAATAAATGAAACATACTTTATGTATTTAATTGAATATTAGATGTCCACAAATGAAACATTTGTTGATGTTAATGTGAACCGCTATGAAAGCCTTCGTAGAACAATGGCAAGATTTCGGAAAGATGGTCAACCACAAAATCCGCAATCAATGGAAGAGTTTAGTCTTCAGCTAGATGGCCCATATCGTGATAGAGCAGCTATCTTGGGAGTAAATATTTATGCTGGTACAGTAAGAGGACATGGCGAAGAAGGTTGTTCAATTATATTTATTACCCCTGAAACCAGAAGGTAAAAACCATCACTTTAGAAATTACCTGTGTATTGTATATTAGGGTGTATAACAAACGTTTTAAACAAATAGCTAATATTAGTTTATTAACATATTTTACTCATGAAAATATTAAGATTGCTCAGGGAAAGTCCTGATATTTATATTGACGGAACTTTTGATGCGGCTCCATTATTTGGACAACAGTGCCAGCAGATGCTAGTCATCATGGCAAAATCTTTTGGCTATGTAAGTATAATAATTAATTATTTACTAACATACTGTAATATTACAACTTATGCTTTAATTATGAACTATAATTATGATTATGACGGGATTTCCAATAGTTTTTGCACTTATGTCCAGAAAGACTACAGCTGCTTATAATAAAATAATTAGCTTTTTAAAGCAATTGGAACCAGCCTGGAACCCAAACACTGTAATGAGCGATTTTGAAAGGGCGATAATTAGCTCATTTGAAGAACATTTCCCGAATTGTAGGCACAGTGGTTGTTTTTTTCATTTGGGCCAAGCTGTTTGGAAACGTGTGCAAACTGATGGTAATTATTTTAAAGAAAATAAAAATCTGATATATATATATATATATATATATATATATATATATATATATATATATATATATATATATATATATATATGTGTCTATTGAATTTTTAGATAAATATTACATTTGTGATTTAACTTTGAATATTTAATTTATATAAACTTTTATGTAAACTAATTATGCATTAAGAGGAAAAACTAGTTGTTAAATACATAATTCTGTATAATACTCCAGATGAGCATATAATATTTTATATATTAATAATTATTAAAAATACATTTTTAATCATTTAGATAAGTTAAAAATACTGTTATTATTACTTAGGTCTGACAGAGTTAGCCAAGACAAATCCATTCTTCTGGAAAATTGTCCACATGTTAATGGCATTGCCTTTGTTACCATCCCAAGACATTGTTGATGGATTTAACTGCATTTTCAATCATTTTAATGGACTGGTAGATTTTATTGAAATTGGTGAACCTGACTATGGACATAAACAGGAATTACAAATGCATCAAGAAAAAATTAGAAATTTTTTCATGTACTATAGGCGTTTTTGGATAAATGGTACCATTGCAAATAAATTATTATTGTTGTACTAATTTATAGTTGAAATATATAGTTACTTAAAGATAAATATCACTGACATTCATTTATACACATACCTATTCATGATACTTCTTCTTTTCAGAAATTGGCCCTGTTACTCTCTCAGTACATGGGCGTACTGATAGAACAAATAATATTTTGGAAGCGAGCCACAGGACCTTGATGAGCCATTTCACGCATCCAAATCCATCACCTTGGTCTTTTGTTGGTAAGAAAAGTAATAAACTTTATTTCAGTGAGATAATAATTCATAAAATTAAACATTATATTATAGAACGTTTATTACCATATATTGGAGCCATTACTAAAGACATAAGGCGAGCAAGAGATGGAATCGAAATTCATAGGGATCAACCTGTAATATGGCAACAACAAAACAACAAAATTTTGCGAGCACAAAGACAGTTGGGTATGGGTCAACTGACAATATTTGAATTTCTTGTGAGCTGCATGCATACAACTCCACAATTTGGAGTGCCAGCACCTATTCAAAGTAAGAAAGTACTATATAAAATTGTACATTACATTTTACTAAAGAATTAAAATATAACATTTAATCCTAAATTCTTCAATTATTATTTTAAATTATGTTTTCCGTATTTTTTTAACAATTTTTTTTTTAAATAAATAAAATATAATTAATTAAGTACTAAAATAATATAAAATATCAATCATATTACCATAGTGTCAATATTCTTTGTGTATTAAAAATATTAGTATATGTGCATTTTAATTTATAAAATTAGGTATTAAAATAATAAACTGAACTATTTACAGACGATGAACACGACATCCCAGAGGTTGCGAATCACGAAAATAATGTAAGTTAATTTTACATCTAACAATTGTGCTAATGAAAAACAGTGGTACAAAAAACATGATTTTAAAGGCAATTCCCTCTTGAGATTTTTAGATGCTCTCATTGGAAGTATAGGGGTGGTGTGTTTAAAACGATAAAGTTAAAATTGTCCCCTATATTTTAAATTTACCAGGCCACTGATGAATATATACAAACTAAGTCTCACAATTAATCATAACACTTATAAGATTTGAGATTTTAGTTTTTGGGAAATATTAAAATCTGTTTTTATCTATTATTATTAATTGCTTCAAAAAATTATTTTTTTTAAGGCCGCTGATCTACAAATTGATAATCAGGACTTTGGTATGTTATCTTTAACATTATTATTTAAATAAGATGTTTAGTAGTTAATTAATTGTAATTATTTTTATTTATTATTATTGTGATAAATTCAGGATCTGATGATGATGATGATGATTTTGATATCAGTGATGTAGAACCTAACGACATTGATGATATGATCCGAGGTAAAATATAATAACTGATATTGAAATCCTTTTATTGACATTGAAAATGTTTTTTTAAGACATTGACTACCAGAGCTTTTTCTTTTATTTCATAAAAAAAAACATAATAAAATAATATTTGAGCGTAACTATCCTCACCTTCTTGTAATAGCCAATGTGTTAAAGATTTTGATTTAATACATTATAAATATTATCATTGGTACATTTATGGAAGCTTAGCACCTTAATTTTCAACAACCCCCAAAAGTGTATTATTTTTATTCATTAAATATTTATACCTAGTTGTAGACGTCGTACTTATGTAGAAGTGCTGCTTAGAAGAAAATTAAAGGTTGTACTCCATAAAGCTTATTAAATTAATGATTCTTGTTTACAGATATTGATGACAACTGAAAACTATTACCGACTTATATGAAAATACTACATTGGTGTGCCTCTGAAGTCTTGTTTATTTTATTAGCTCTTATAAATTTGTACAATCATCATAATTCAAGTGATTTTGATGGAGTTAACAAGTGTATTCTTCAATTGATCAAAAAGCATCATTCGATGATGTCTTTAACAATAAATTAAAAGATTTTACCTTAACTGGTTCAAAAACAGTATTTTTTAATGTATAAGTAATTTTTTTCTTTTTTTCTACTGTTGTAGAAACTGCATTTTGTCTTTCTGGACATTAGAGCAAAAACTATCGGTAATCCCTTCAAATTCAGAACAGGCGAAATTGCCTGTCAGGTGCAATGCATATTTTATGTGTATGGTAGCGCATATTGCATAGGGTGTGGTGTGAAGTAATTGATGATAACAACTACCCGGTTCATCCGAATTTCCTATAATAAGCCAGAAAAGGTTTATGTGGGTCCCTACCCATGAGTTCATATTTGATGTAATTTCAATAACATTTTAATACTTTTTATTATTAAATTATAGTTATTATGATTACTCACTATACAATATGAGCCTTAAATGGTAAGGCTAAAGACGTATTAGTATAATAACACGAGCTGATACGTCCATCATTAACAGTTAAATACATTGAAATTATACAATAAAATTAAAGTAAGAATGATAGCACAATAGTAATTTATATTCAAAATTATTCGAATAAATAATATTTTTTTTATTACTTATAATTTTTATCACATAACAAAAATGAAAATTATTTTATCACAATATTTAAATACAGCCTTGTGGTTAGAACCTGGTTATTGATAAGAAAAAATATACTATAAGATGGCTTGGGAACCTATGACTCTGGGAACCTATGGCAGCTTGCCGTTAAAATCAACTGCCATTTTAAAATTCTTGTAGTATTCGTATTACAAGCAATTTAGTATTTTTTATCAGCAAGATTGTTATTTAGTGATAACAAAAAGTGATAACGTTGGCGCACGTATATAAAAAAAATAACCATGTTAAAATATATTATATTTTCTTAAATAGTACACATTTTTACGATACATTTATAATGACAAAAAACCAACTAGTTCATATGACGACAACGATAATTATTGGTAAATAAAATTTACTTTCGTTTCTTATTAATATTAAATGATTATTTTTATTAGAATTCTTTTTTAATTCATAATTCAAAACTCTTATTTTCACATAATATAAACTTGCAATATTTAATATGAATTACATAATATATTTATCAATTATAGTACCTAGCGACAAAGTTCATACATACACTATATTGTACTAATTTGTGTGACAATATTATTACATCCTATTTAAATAAAACTATTAATACAAGTAAATTATGTTTTACAGTATGATGGTAGTTGTCTGAAGTCATAAAAAGCTTATCGGTATGCTTATTCATTAGAGCGGTTCGATTCCTGAAACTATCTCTAGTCTGATTAAGTGTGGTAACAGGTATGGAGTTATTTTTTGTAAAATTGTTTTAATTGATTTAATCTCTATTATTTTAATAATTACATTTCAACTTTTAACTTATTTATTAATAATATATCTTTCAGTTTAAGATGAGTCAAAGATTCTGGTTGAACAGTTCTCCTTCGACACTAACTGGAAGAAATAATTGTTTTATCATTTGTCTAAATAGACTAGGTAAGGAAAACATTCTAGATTTGTAGTATTAATACAAATATTGATACAAAATTAGTTTAATATCAATCTAAAACACCCTAATATAGGGTATTTAAAAAAAAAGAAATCAAATGTAAATTATCTTTCTTTTTAATAATTTAATTTACTATTTTCTAACATTATTAGTTTTTGTACAAGAAAAATTGCATTTACTTGTAGATCTTACGTTTCATTGGTATGAGATAACAAACTAGGTCCACTTGATATATACCGGTCACAAATATAGTCTATTCATGAAATCACTCTTCCAAGTGTTATTGATAGATAATTTAAGTTGAATGGTATAAAAAAATGTCATTATCAATTTTCGTTATATTTAATTTTAACTTCACAATTAACAAACGTTAACATTAGTAATTCATTTTAAATTGGTTTTATATTATAATTATTATTAATATTATTTAACCATTTGTTGTTTTTTCAGCTAGAATGTGACCAGAGGAAGATTAAATGGACATATCATATATTTCTCCATGGACACTGTAATCCATGACGGATTTTTGACACTATATTTGAATATTTGTTGTTGAAGTTAATTGGATTTTGTGCAAAACCCCTGGAAGAATATTCTGTATCAGACTAACAGTATAAACGCCACCCAGTATTTCTGTTTACCTGCTGTTAAACATCGTAGTATCATCTCCAATCTCTTTATATTTTGTTTAATTTTATTTAAAAAAGTCGCATTATAATTTATTATTAATCAACTGTAATTCAGTTGTTTATTTATTGAATAACTTATTATCCTGTCTTCAACGTCCATATAAACTGTACTGTATTTATGACCACTACACTGATATCTCATTTGGCTAAATATTTTTAATTTTCAACTACATTAAAACAAAATTAAGATTGTTTAAATTTTTTTTTTTTTTTTGAATACTTGTATTATTGTTTGAATATTTTTACACTTTAGGTGTCAATACAAGTATCTTTAGTTTAACGATACTAACAGTATATTACTATTACAATTTTGACAAACTTAATTATTAGCCTACCAAATAAATTATAAATGTAGCTTCTGTATTTGCTTATTTATTAATATTTACTTACCTTAATAACAATAAAATATTAATTTATTGTAAAAATATCTTGACCTAACTGAAAGATTGAAAATTTGTAAACTGTTGTGAAATTATGTTGATGTTGTTAGGAAAAATTGTGTAGTCAAAATTTTGAATACCTAGATTAAAAAAAAAAAACGGTACAATTTTTTTTTGCTAAACCAAGTAATTATACATTTGTAAATTTTGATGTTTAGTTTATAATATATACATTTTTAGTTAAAAAATATCTTTACTTAAGTATCATTTTATACTATTTATACTTTTTACCAGATTATTTTATGTGTTTTAAACTATTACATTTATTATTTCTATTATTACTATTTATTATTTATTTAAATGACTTATCAAACTTTATGAATTGTACTTTATAAATTATAAAATTGGTCTGAAATGTATACTGTGTTACTGTAGCCTGATAGACAGGAAGTCTATATTGTTTTTTAGAAATAAAAGTTGTTTTTTCTTGGTTAGCTTAATTATATAGTGTGATTGACTAATTTTCTCTCATAATAATTTCAATTAGGTAAAATTATTTTTCAAAACATTTTTGTTTGTGTTATTTTACAACTGAAAACATGTTTTAATAACCACTTACTTTTTTGATAATTTTTAATTAAATAATATTTAATATGTGATAAAAAAACAAAGCGTATTTAGTATATAGTATATATTTGTTTATAATTTTATTATTTAGAAATGCATTAGTTTTTAGATGTAGTTTTTGACACAATAAAGTAAAAGTAAACCAAATGTATTTTTTCTAAATCTGTTCTCATAGACACGTTTACTCTCGATAACGAGTGATTTGTATCTGTGTATTGTATTAAGTGATATTATATAATACGTTTAAACGAAGGATGTTTAACATATTGAATACTCTCTTTGAGTATACGATGATGTGTTCGATATAAATTGTATTATAAAGTCCAGATACCGTTATCTTTATTTATATGCATAGTATAATGTAGTAAATAATTATAGATTCAACATTTAAATAATAAATTAGCTTTAGTAAGTTTAACCCTTAACAATACCTGCTATTATCTAATAACTATAGATATATATAAATAATGTCTTGATAATAATTGAATAGTTTTATAACATATTCAATATTTTTGATATTTTCATTTTAGTCAGTTATCAATGAATCAAAGTATACAACTATTTTATTTTTAATAGTAACGCAGTTACATCTTATATGAATCATAATTCATGAAACACAATTTTGTAGCTCTACACAGTTTTGACCTCTAAACTTAAAGTTATCTAGATTAAAATAGTTTTGAATATTGAAAACCATATGTTCAGTTTTATTCAAATTCAACTATAAAAACTCGTAAAACCATGTAAATATGTTTTAATAACTAAATATTATATTACTTCATTATTTGGGATTTAATGATTTTCAAATATTTTTGATAGAGACAGTGATAACGATATTGGTTTATAATGGCTACAGTCTAGTAATTATAACTAGAGCCCTAGTAATTATAATTACCGACTGAAATAATAGATAATAACTACTGAACAATTATTTATTTCCTGTTTTGTGTAAAGGAATGAAGACACATTTGTTAAAACTATTGGGGCACTTACCTGAAAATAATGATAAATTAAATACCTACAACTTTTATACTTTTCATTGTTAACTACAATTTAGTTAAGTACAACTGTTTAACAGTATAAAGTTAGAATTATCTTCTACTAGTTTAATCTAGTATTTCTAACCAAAATTATGGGGGTATAAGATATTCCTAACACAATTATAAATGTTAATTATTAATGTTTTTAAATGTTCACTTAGTTAAAATAGAGTTAACCTGACCGCTTGATATTCATTTTTTTAATTTCTGATTTGACAATTTTATTATATACATATTAGTGGAATTGGAAATAGCCTCATTAGTTTTCACATTAAATATGTCCATAGCTACGTTTATATCATTTAAATTTTCACAACTTCACCAATCTTGAGTAAATATTAACATACTTAAATCAGTCTTATTATAACTTATTAAACTTATTGTGGGCAAAAAGAGCTTTAACAGCAGATCTCGATGAGAACGAGATAAGAGATAAATAAATATGATGAGATGCTGCAACTTGCAATTGTATCTATTTATTTTATAATATGTATTATTTCTATTTTTTTTATAATATAAGAAAAGTATACATTTCTTAATAAATGGAATGTAGGCAGAATTAATAACAGAAAAGTTATAATATCACTTCTATAAGAAACAAATCTAATTGATAATAATTGTATTTCTATAAAGGCAATCGAGGTAAAAGATAATTAGCCAAGTCTTTGCCAGGCTTGTACAAAAATATTTTATTACTTTTCACTAGTATCTTACAGCATCACTTTAGACATTTAATTCTACTTATGTTTGGAAATGTGCAATATCAAAAATTCTTATAAATCTATGGATCTATGAAAATATAATTTTAAAAGATCTAAATGAAATATGGATATACCTAAGTAGGTATTCTAATTTCTAATAGATTTTTATACTATCTGATTATCAGAGTATTAATTAAAATAATTAAAAAAAAGCTTTATGTCAATATTGTCCACCGTAAAACGGCAGGACTTAATCCAAAAATTATTTAACTACAACAGAAAGCAAGTTCCTAGAACAGAAAAATATATATTAAACACGAGGGTACCATACCTAATTTATAAAGGATGGAACAGTTTAATCGTTTGAAGAAGTTTTGCAGTTATTTAATTAAGATCTTTGTACCATACCAAGGGTAGATCAACATTTATGTGATGAGTATTTGATACGCTCGCATTAATGTGTATCAATTGTCATATTATGCGATTTCTGGTGTAATTATTCATAAATTATTAATTTAACTATTCACTAAGTAAATGGCCATATTAAATGAATAAGTACATAGATTAATAAAATATGGGCTATGCAATCTTCTAACAAACAAGGACATTTTCAAATCAAGAGATAATTGTAAATTTGCAAATTTATATTGACCAAAAATTGTATCATATTTTGTGGATATATTTTTTGATTTAATCACATTTCAGTGTTGTTGTATTTGTGGAAAAAGAGTAACAAGACTTACCGCGACGTTTTGCTGGTCGGCTTGTGCGATTCGGGCAAGACCGCTCTCTATTCGCACTTGCTGTTCAACAAGGCCGTCCAGACCTTCACGTCGCAGGTGGAAAACATTGGCGAATTCAAAAACAGCAAGGTACACTAACAATTGAACGTAAACGGACTTATGAGAACGTGATTTAATTGTGACAATTATAATTTTTGTTTTTAGAAATGTTTGCGTGTCGTCGATATTCCTGGACACGAGCGAGCGTTTGGTAAATTTTGGGATGTTTACAAGACGAGCTGTTAAGGGATAATTTTCGTCGTCGATTCGGAAAACGTGCAGACGTCGGTATGCGATGTAGCAGAGTAAGTGTAATACAATTTTTGAGATTTAAATTTCAACTAATCTGTCTTTTGCGTTGCTAGCCTGTTGTACAGAGTGATCACCGACGACACGATTGTTTCGAACAAAAGCAAAATATTAGTCGTTTGTAATAAACAAGACAAACTCATGGCCAAAGGTTCGGAAGTCATCAAGACGTTACTCGAAAAAGAATTGTATGGGCTCTCTATGAAGGGCCAACGCCTTGTGAGATCCCGTGATCAGTATCATCACCTGGAACCGGATGATTCAAGAAACCATTATGTCTTTATTATAACTATAGTTTATAAATTCTATTTATTGAGCTAAAAAGTTCACCATTTTCTTGATTCAAATGATGAAAAACTGTGTCTTTAGACACAAGCAGTGCCAAACAAATATCTTAAATCCTTTCCCCTAAACTGGGTGGAAGTTTTTTTTCAGTAAAGTTTTACGGCTTAAGGTCTGAAAATCAGACCAAAAGTACATCTAGAGGTTGCAACATTTACAAATTAAATCTGCTGTCAAACTTTTTATTAAGGAAAACCCCCCAAAAATTACACCTTGACAGTTTATATTTTGTTCTTCGTATGCCTGAACTGTCTGTAATAAACTTAGATTTCCGTTGAAATGGAATTTTATTGTTACTGGACGAAGGAGCTAATAATTGCCTTGCACATTAAATTTCTTTTAGCTGGTATAGTTGGTACTAGATTTTGAAGAAAATAAAACCACACACAGTAAGTCAATACAGTACTTCTTTCTCGACTTTTTAAATATTAGATGTACAAAAACTGTACATCATAGTTTAAACTGCTGTCTGTGCTATTGTCATATCATGGCCTGCTGTGTTTAACTTGAGGGTGGTTAGGGGAGGCTAGTGTTGGCAATGTTAGCGTTGGTAACACTGGTGACCAGGGCCGCCAGTGTACAACATTATTAATACTATACCAAGAGTCGTTTCGAACACTGCCCTTGAGTGTTGTTGACTTTTGTTTATAACGTACATATTTAATTAATATACAAAATTGGATTATTTTTTTCACACAAGTTTATTTCGTTCTAATAATACTAGGGAAGTTTTCAACTTCCTTTCGAAACTCGTTCAGGCCGTAAGGTCAGGGAAGTCCGAACTTTCTTGGCGTCCTCTAGTTGTGCCAAAGTTATCTGGCTTAAGATGTATTTTAATGGACTCTGAATGTACGCGCTTACCGTTTGGGCGCTCATGACGGTTCCCACGCCGACCGTCAGAGCTTGTTTGGGCACCTTGTCGATGTCGTTGCCGAAAAATCTGGCATTGGCCTCCAAAGTCTCTTGTGCCAACGTCTTGACCCGTGTCTTGGACACCAGGGAAGAACCGGGTTCGTTGAACGCTATGTGACCGTCCGGACCTATGCCTGTGGTAGGTAGATGTATACATATTATATGGGAATCCGGAAAGTTGTCGAATCAAGCAAAAAAAGTTCTCAAGTCTGTGTGTGTACTTACCACCGACGAACAAGTGTACGCCTCCGGCCTCCTCGATGAGCCGTTCGTAGTTCTGGCACTCGGCTTGTAAGTCGGCGGCATTGCCGTTAAGTATGTGTGCGTTTTTCGGGTCTATGTCTACTTGAGTGAAGAAGTTTGTCATCATGTAACAGTGGTAGCTCTCCGGGTGATTTCTGGGCAAGCCTTTCGTGGACGACACGGTCCAAAAAATTAATAACATTACAATATTCGTATTGTTTTATTACATGTAGGAGATTGCAGAATAAAAATTATCCCTCCAAAAAAATGGAATATTATTTGTTAGGGCTGGTAACACTGGTCCAGCGGTGTACAACATTATTTATAAGAAGAGTCGTTTTTTGAACTGCCGTTGATTGTTGTTGAGTGTCGTTTTTTTTGTTTGTTAATAATGTATTATATTAACTTAATAATTAATTCACGAAATTGGATTGGTCTTTTAAAACAAGTTTATTTTATTGTAATATATTATTTATACAATTGTCAATTCATGAGGTTAAGCAGATTGTGGACATGTGTGAGATTATCAATAAAATATATTATATTATAATGCAATAATGTATCCTTTATTTTTCAAGTGATATTTTTGGATTATTCATTATAATTTCCATAAGAAACATTTGCAGGATCAATAAAAGATCAACACAACGACGAATTGAGCAGAAAACGTAAAAAATGTATTTCACCGAAAACGAAACTGTTTCTGGTGTCAATTGATAATATTGTCTTAGTTGAGTTTAGAATGCGGAAGAATGGAAATGGCCATTATTATAACAGCTGGAATAAACATAAACGGTCAGAATGTAATTTCTCTCCTTTTTGAGGGCTTCCATAGTAAAAAAAAAAAAAAATAGTCTTGACACAGTAACATAAGACAGTAGTTATATAATATTAAAAAAAAAATCAAATGGCCATATTTTTAAGATGTGTATTATGTTATTGTAATGTTTGAAGTAGTAAAAACCATAAAAACGAGAAAACTTCAATACCACCGATATGTATTACAATAAATAATCCAGGGTAAAATAGTTAGGAGAAGGAGCTGTGGAAGACCTCAAATGTCTTGGACGGACAACCTCAGAAGATGGTCCAACACATCTACGAATTCACTATTCAGTGCAGCCATCAATAAACTTAAGCTCACAGTAGAAAGTATTGTAAGTATTGTATAAATAATACCAATATAAATTAACCTAATGCATATATTATGCACTTACATGCAGTGAAGGGTTAATATCAATATACTGAACGATATTTTATGGGGAATGAAGAGACTCTGAAAGACTACTTAAGAAATACTGGGACCATACTGGACTTAAACTCACCAACGTACTCGTCCATGTTGAAAGTCTTGACGTACTTGAAAGAAACTTCACCGGCCCTGTAGTACTTGATCAGGTACTTGTACATACCTAGCGGAGTTCCACCTGAAGTCGGTCTGAAGTTAATTGGTTTGCTTGTAAATAAGAAAGTGCGTTATTATATACTTACCCGTAGGAAGACCCAAGACAAAGTATCGGTCGGGCCCCGGGTTGAAGTCTTTGATTCTCTTGGTCACATACTTGGCCGCCCATTCCGAGACTCTATCAGCATTTTCAGTTATTATCATTCTCATTTTGGCTGCATAAAGACAGATAAAAGGTTGTGAAATACAGTGACCGAGCCAGATAATACAGGAATAGGTCAACAATTTCAAAACAACGCAACATGTACCTATCTATGTCATAGGCCCTATTTATTGAGGAGTTAGGTCAAGGTAGTTTTTTGCCAAAATCTTAATCTTATGCACATCTTATTCCTTTGATAATTCACTAACTGTTTGGTTCTCTCGAGTTGTACTCGTACAACAAATAATTAGTTGGATTTGTGTATTGGCAAGAGCTATATATTTGTATTAATTGTCAATTGCACAACCATTGAAATCATAGTAGGTATGTGAAAAATAAAATAAAAACACATCATTGTAAATACAATACCTACTCAGCGACGCATCGAAGGTAAAAATATAATGCAATTAAAAAAAATGTTTATTAAATTAAAATGAAACTATACAACTAACTCGATACATGCACAGTATAAGTGTTCATGGACATTTCTTGAGGAGTTAGGTATAGATCTTAATTTTAAGGTTTAACCGTGATGTGTACTTATTAGTCCGGTAATAAGGTGTTTTTTTTTTTTGTAGTTAAATGCAAAAATATATTTTTTAAACTTTTTTAGGCATAGTTTTTATTTATTTGTATACAATAATTTTTTACATCATTTATTTTCTCACAAGGTCCGAGCTCAATCGTAAAAACAATAGGTATGGTATAAATATAATGTTAATAAACACAATTATTAATGACTTGACATAGGATCTGGCCGTGAATGGTAATTGCTCTAGCTGTGCTTTACATGTGTGTATATATGGAAGAGGAAGTGTCATGAGGCCAACTGCATAATAATATCCAATGGTCTTCATAAAAAACTTAAATAATAAATGTCCGATATAGATATAGAAGTTTTGTAAAAATAGAAAACGGTCGATTAAAAAAATAGGTATCACATTTGATATATATATATATATTATGGCCCATGAACTTTTGAATTGAGTAAACAATTCTAAAAATGTAAATACACGGATTTGATTCTATTGTAAAAATTGATGGGCAAGCTAGACAAATGTTTGACGTTTATATAAATATTAGGTAATTGTTTTAAAATCTTTTTCTAGCAAAAAAAATATATATATATTTTAAATGTTTGACAATAATTAAAAGTAATAACGTTTCATTACAATAATTACTATACTGTTATTGTTGGTAAATAGTGTAATTCCCATTTTGCGCATCGTCAGGTTAGGTTAGAATAGGTATTAGTGTAATAAATTTCTATTTGTTCTATTATTTTAAGACACAAATAAGTAATAGTCAGTAACGTACTAAGATTTGATAAAGAAATCAACGATTTGACACCTAACAATGTTACATAAGAGAAATTCAGTAAAATAATGGTCAATATTAACTACATAGTATTATAGCAGATATGGCCTGGTGTCGGCGTTTACTGTAAAAATTACCAAAATTATTTTCTTAACAAGTTCTACATGCAAACAAATTATAGTTTATTGATTTTTACTCGGTCAACCTGACTAAGACTCCATTTTGTACCAACTATATCTAATATATTTTAGACATTTTGTATCCCAAGGAAACGTTTTTACAACGCCCCTTTAAAAAACAGCAGCTTTTTCAAACAAAAATTGAGCATTGTAAAAAAATACAAAACATCTTAACGATGACTTTAAAATAAACCTTAAATTAAATCTACTCACTTTCAAATTTATTAACACACATTATAATAATTAATATAGCCTTTATAGGTCCATTACACTTAAAAGCGTATCGAATAAAATTTTGACAAATTTAAAGATAAACATTTTTTTTTTAAACAGACTTGTGCTGTTAATGAGTTATTTGGAGTTGAATCTTTTTATTTTTATTTTTTTTTTACACTGAAATTAAATTTAAATTTACTAAAATAATCTAATTAAAACGGTGATTAAGTGGATTTCACTTGTAAGCCAACTAAATTGTATACCATGTAATTAGGATTCAATAACTATCGACGAGTAATTATAAATAATTATATTAATCGATAGATTTAGTTTAATTAATAGAGGAAATAGACATTACGATATTGTTGTAATAATTGTTAAGTAATAATCATCAAGATGTATAATGACGTTTCGAAAAGAGGTAGGTACAGTTTTAATGAAATTTTTTCATACCTTAAATCAATGTTTCTAGTTTTGTGTTACATATTTATTACATGTGTTACGAATTATTGTGTTAAAAAAAATATAATAGCATTCATTCAAGTGTTCTTACCGATTTGATTTCTTATATCAATTCAATACGACGTGCAGCATTCAAGGCGGGCGTGTCACTGCTTGTGTTATTTAAATGGCAACTATTTAGCTTCTACACTCAGCTCGGCTTTGTCTGTAGACATGGAACACATGTAATATTCTATATACGTATATGTAATACAATGTATATTATTATGACCGATAAGGTTGTTGATGTTTATTTTCTCTGTCATTATCTTTTTAGTTTGTGTACTATGTGCCCATATAGTAGTAATTACTAATTATTTTGTATCCGGTGCAGCAACACGTCTATGTGAACAAAAGTTATTTTTCTTTATCGCCCGCTAAAGAAACTGCTTAATTATATCGACATTAATATTGTATTAATACTATATTATCGTGTTTATAAGCATTGGATGTCGAATAAAAGAAAATATTAGGTATTATACAATATAATAATATTTCTGTCTAAGAAAATAATAACGATTAGGTATATCGTTTCATTTTGAAATAATAGTTTTATCTGATTTATTTTACTGTATCTTGAAAAACGTATCAAACATCCGTACACTTTTTTTATTGTATTTTTCAACGATAAAGAAATGGAACATATTTCATTATATCATGAAAAATGATTTGTTTATTTACACACAACAACATAACATGGTAACGATTTGAAAACAATATAAACAAAATATAGGAAACACAATAATTTTACAAAACAATTATTAAAAAAATAAATTATTACAATAACATTAACGATCAAAAGTATTTACAGTAAATTAAACGGATAGGTTGAAAATGCAAGAAAAGGCAACAATATTAAGTAGAATCAAATAAATATTTACAGTAAAAATAACAAATATGGGGGAAGGGGGGGGGGGGGTAGAAGGTGCAAGCCACAAGGGTACGTTAGAAACCGGAATAATAAAATCCTCTGTCGACGGGCTTGTCCGGGTACGGTTGCTTGCTTCTAAGGCTCTTGGCCACGGCCTTTACCCTCGCGACCCTGGCTCTGTATTCGGCGTTCCCCGTGGCGGTGCTTTGGCCGAAGCGGGCCGCCACGATCGGTGTCCTACGTACGGGTTCTTGGGCCGGTCGCGTTTCGGCGGGTTCCGGGACGGGCCGCTGGCAACGTCGTCGCCGCCGCTATGGGCTTCGATGGTCGGTGGTTGGACCTAGGTGGCTTCGTACAGAAGTGCGTCAATAATGGCTTTGTACGCACCGGCAACAGTTGACCGTGCCCAGCGGTTCAGACTGGTGGCCAGACAGCCTGACTTCTGGCGGCCGACGTCGTTGGCGTTTACGGGAAACAATTTTTTACAATGTGAGAACAGCTTGTAACAATGATAACAGACCAATGCGGTGGAAAAAATAACGTAACTAATAAGAGCAATTAAATATATGAGAATATAAAAATACATTACATAAAAGAAAAACATTAAAAAACATATAGTATAAAAAATGATTGGCTTTGGAATAAATTTACAAGAAAGACATAGGATTATTAGGAAATATAAAAAAGTTACCAAAATGGAGGAATATAAAAAATAACGGACACAGTCAACGTGGGCGGAATACCAAGAAAAAATAATAAATAATAAATTGCGAAGTGCACTTATACTAGAAATAAAACGATATAAATGAACAAAGACCATAATTAATTGGCATGCAAAATTTAACCCATCCAGAGCCTGTCGCACGTCCGCGGCATCTTCGCCGGCTTGGTCGGCTTTGGACTTGGTGGGTGCCATACGATCTAACACTTTCATAATGCCAATTGACAGCCCGTTCTTCAAAATATTGTACAAAAAAGACATTGCTTTAGGAGAAAAGGTTATTTTTGATAAAGAGAACAAGAGAAATATAAAACATGAAAACGATACACAGTACAATTTTAGACAAGTCAATAGTTACAAAAAAACAACGGCCGTCGTGACGACCGTTAGTTTATTTGCAACATTTGATTGTATAATATAGTAGCCAGACATATTATTATTATATTTGTTTGTTTATCTAAAGTCTTAACACCCCAAATGGGTAACGAGTACAGTTATTAAAAGTTTCACAAAAGAATATACAGCAACAACTTGGGTATTAGATATACAAATAGAAATAATAACAAATAAATATATACACAATAAACACATGTAAGCTTAATTACTATTCAATATATAATATTTTTTAATTTAATTTGGGAATCAAAAGAAAAATCAAAATTAAGTACATTGTCACATGCATCTAAAATGCGATACTCTGGACTATATTTAATTAAGTTTGTGTAGCATTGTGGTATTAAGGACGGGCGATTATTTCTTAAATTAAAGGTTGGAATTTTAAAGTTTATTTTGCTTAGGAATTCTGGACAGGATAATTTACCATTTATTAATTTATGAATAAAACCTAAGTCGTTATATAACCTTCTAGAAGCCAATGACTCTGAATCCAATTCTACAGCTAAAATATTAGACATAATATACGTTGTACCCATAAATGCCCGATTGATGTGTGTATGGATTAAATAAAGACAAATAATAAAGGTTAAGCTCAAGTATACTCAAAAACGGAATTTCTTCTTCGGATTTGATTTAATAATATATGTTTTGTGTTTGTGAAAGCGCTTGCTGTATAATAGCATAGAAAATCTAAGGTTATACTGGGATTAGGTTTATCACAAGTTGACAGTACTGTCGAATCAGATATACACTTTTTTAGGATTTGCCAACACATCCGTGTTAAAATAGGTAAGTATTACTACTGCGTTGTATCTCATTAGATTATTTACAAAAAACAAAATGTATTAAACTTTTCATGGATCCAGTGAAAAATTTCCAGAAAACTACTAGGTATGTATACATTTTTGTACACATGGTCTTTTTTATTTTTAATATCCTGTGTTTATACTAAAGAAATAAATCATATCATAAAGAAATGGAAAATATTTTATTTAACAAATTTTTTTTTTTATTTACACAGAATAACATGGTAACAAACGATTTAAAAACAATTAACAAATAGGAAAAATGCCAAGTACAATAATTATACAAAATAATCAACAAGAACAACAAGCCACAAGGGTATGTAAAAACCCCGAATAGTGAAATCCTTTATCGTTGGACGTGTCCGGGCCTTCTCCTCTAGCTCATAGCGATAGCCGTTAACCTGGCTTTATACTCGGCGTCCACGATGGTGGTGGTTTGGCCAAAGCGGGCCACTGCTCGGCCGGTCGCATTGACGTCTGTGGCTTCGAATGGGACCGTACAGCCTAGGCCTTCATGCATTCCGGACAGCAGTTTGTCTTTGAGGGCCTTGCACGCATTCGAAACCGTTGAGCCATTGCTTTTGGAGATAAAGTTGATTTTTAATTAGATAAAGATTTATAAAACAAAACAAGTCACAGTGAAATTTTAGAATATTGTACACAAAAGCCATTGCAAAGTTGATTTTTGATTAAAGATTCACAAAGATTTATAAGACAAGAAAACATGAAAACAATACAAAACAAGTCGATAGTTACGATAAAACAATTTGCAACATTTGATTGTATAATATAGTAAATTAATTAACAAATAGTAAAAATGCCAAGTACAATAATTATACAAAATAATCAACAAGAAACAAATGACAATAATAATAATATGAATCAAAATAGGTCTGGAGGTACAAGCCGGATATGTCCGTGCCTTCTTCTCAAGCTCATAGCGATGGCCGTTAACCTGGCTTCATACTCGCCGTCCACGATGGCGGTGGTGGTTTGGCGGAAGCGGGCCACCGCGTTCCTGTTGCTCGGCCGGCCGCATTGACGTCTGTGGCTTCGAATGGGACCGTACTGCCTAGGCCTTTATGCATTCTGGACAGCAGATTGTCTTTGAGGGTCTTGCACACATTCGAAACCATTGATCGTACCCGACGGTTGAGACTGGCCAGAGGGCCTAGTGTTTGGCGGCCGACGTTGTTGGTGATTGAAATAACAAAATACATTACATAATAGATAAACATAAAAAAACATACAGTATTAAAAATGATTGGCTTTGGAAAGTGCCGAGAAATAAATTGACAAGAAAGAGTAAGGATTAACAGGAAGTATATATAAAAAAGTAACTACAATAGATGAATATAAAAGCTAATGGACACAGTCAACAAATTGAAGAAATCAAACGACACGACTGAATAATGTGCAAAAATAACCAATTTAAAGCCACTGTTCGTGCGTCCATGGGTTTGGCGGCATCTCTGTTGGCTTGGTCGGTAGGTTGGACGTCGGCATTGACTGTTTGCGTATTGGCTTTGGGCTTGGTTTGCGCGATACAGTCCAAGACTTTGACAATTTCAATTGACAGTCCATATCTTTAGTTTATTACCAAGGGAAGATATAGAAAACACGGTGTTGCAAACACCAATGGAAATTGTGGTATCTATAGAAAAAAAAAAAAAATATATTAGTAATAATTATTAACTAATTAACATGTTGAAGACGAAAAACTAGTCGATAATAAATGTTGTAAAGATTTTAATTTTTCTGCCAAACTGTTGTCGTTATTCTTTTGATATATTTTAAGACATTATTTATTCGTTTAATTTAATATACATCGTTTAATAGGAAATCTCTGCGCTACTTGTCTTTAAAAACCAAACGACTATTGACTTTGAATTTAAATATCTACAAAGTTACAAGTAAAAAATCGATTATTATTGAAAGTTTCTGAGATTCAAACGACAATTTTAAAATGTAATTTTTACTACCAAGATTTTTCCATGTTTGAATTTTCGACAGCAGCTGTACATCATAAACTTCGTCGCCTTAATTAGGTTTGGCCACAAGACGGTAAATAGTCGGTATAGCAAGGCAATGGTATAATTGTTTTAAATTTAATTATAACATTTTACCAGTTGTTAAAATCAACTGCCATTTTAAAATTCTTGTAGTATTCGTATTACAAGCAATTTAGTATTTTTTATCAGCAAGATTGTTATTTAGTGATAACAAAAAGTGATAACGTTGGCGCACGTATCGGTGGACGCATACAATTTTCCAGAAAAAAAATAACAAGAATGTATGTATCCAGAATGTTGAAATATAGAAAATGTAACGACAAAATGAAAAAAATCCAGAAGAGTATCGTACCAGAAACTAAAACATAGAAAATAAATTTAACGAAAATATTATAACGGAAATATAAAAAAAATGTAATTATATATTCACTGAAACGTAATAGTCCGGAAAATGAGAGTGCAGAATAGAAAATATATGTTTATCGCCATCTGGTTGTGCGATAATATCATAGATAATAAAAACATGATTTACACTATAGAATATTATCTTATTAGTTGATTAAAGAATAAAAATTGTTTGAATTTCGAGTTTCATTTTAACAATTTTTTGATATTTTTAAATAATTGTAAGATCTTTTAATACATTTGGTACTGTCTTGTGTTATATGCCGTTTGATGTCATACATTTATACATTTGACCCAGTAGAAAAGAATACACTAGTTTTTTTTAGTAAATTAACTAAATTGACACTGGAAACTTCCTCTAGGGTATTTTTTAAGAATTCACTGAATAGACTATAGCGAATTTATTTAACTATGCTATAAGTTTACTGCCTGAAAAAAACATTTAAATCTATTATAGTGAACCTTGTGCAATCCCAAACTACAAACTCCATACTGCAAATAACTTAACATTCATATAAATTTCTTCAATGAAATAATGAATGTGTCTCGCTGTCCAAACTCTAAGCCTGTGTTTCTGACTCGTTAAAATGTATGTCAATAATTAATAGCGTTTTCAAAGATTCTCAAGTTACTGCAAAATTCTGTTGTGTAATTAATACTGCTTTCCATACAAAAAATAGGTGTTCAAGGTTTTCACAAAAACCATTTTGTAAGTCTATTTCAGAAAAACTATATGAATACTATAGTAAGTTTTCGAAAACATAAAAATTTGTAATACAAGTTAACATTTAAAGATGGCATACAAGTAGTTCGCGTCTCAAAGAAAAACAGATTTCATTAGACTAATGTATTTCTATGAAAATTGTTTGACTTTTTAAAAATCACCAACTTCAATCTATCCTGTCATTTTTCTTGATTTATACTATTTCTCAGGGTCACGTAGACTACTTTCGGTTCCGTTGTAGAGGAGGAAAGAAATTTAAAAAAGTCCACACGCAGGCAATTTATTTCAACCAAAGGGTGTAGCGCTCCACAATGAAATATATTCATTTATTACTGATAACTGTAGCATGTTTGATAATACTGATTTAAAAATTGTTATCTTCGAAACGTTCAGAAAAAATTAAACCAAGTGATTGATCATGAGTACTGTTAATTATTTTAATTTGAGTAAACTTGTAAATGGTATATGTATATATTATAGGCTATGTACCCAAAAAAGTAGTAAAAAAAATACAGTGTGATACTTGCAAATCTTATACAACTAAAACAATTCATATAAATAAAATACTTAACGAGACTTTAAATATTTAGTCACAATGCATTTTTAAAACATACAATTTTTCTGTTTTATTCTGTTAAGGATATACTATTATTATAAAAAAACAAAATATAATATTTATCAAAAGTACATTTAAAAAGCACATAAGTTCTTTAATAATAGGAATAATAGTACAAATAAATAAAAATGTATCAATACATCAATGCATTATACCAAATCTTGTATAACTAAAACAATTCATATAAATAAAATACTTAACGAGACTTTAAATATTTAGTCACAATGCATTTTTAAACACATACAACTTTTCAGTTTTATTCTGATATGGATACACTATCATTATAAAATTAAACAAAAGTACTGTAAAAAGCACATTAGTTCCATAATAATAGGAATAATAATACAAAAAAATAAAAATTTATCAAAACATCAATTCATTATACCATTAGTTATAAATATCATAGATAGCCCGCCGAGACAATTTTCAGTTCTGGATGTCGACACGGGGTGGTTGCTAATAGTATCATTTTTATTTAAAACGATACTTTAGGGCTCACCCCTTGTCGACGTCCAGAACTGTAAATTGTCTTGGTGGGCCATCTATAATATTTATAGTCAATGATAAAACCTATGATTCTGATGATTTATTTGTAATGTTACGAGTAAAAAATAGTTTTTATTCATTATGTTGAAACCTTAATGTCTCTTTTGCTAAGTCTAAAATATTTATTATTAGTGGGTGCACAAAATAATAGCACTTAATTTTAAAAGGTAAAAAATACACGTTGAAAATGACTGTTGCTTTGACGGCACACAGGACATTTTACTATAGGGTCAGACCTAAGAATTGTCAGCATACAGCTATTGCATATCCATGCGTGCCCACATGGAGTAATCATATACCTTATTGGAGTTTCCCTTAGCGTCCTCACCAAACATGTCACACATCTACTTTCATCGTCAAGCGAATCATTGTCATCAATATTTACGGTTTCATTTGCACCCTCAGAAATGGCTACAGGTATGTTAGCAATTAATTCTTCAGCTACTGCAGAATCATCAATCCGGTTATCTTCTGAAAGAGGTATATAAGCATTTGGGTTGCTATTGATCTCTGCCTGTAATGCCCAATTTCTCTGACGTTGTTCATAAGCAGTAGTAGTGTGAGAGCATATTTGCAAAAACTGCCACATATTCATCAGTCCTTGAGAATATTGGCTAGTTGCATTCTTTATACGATTGGAGTTTATAACATAATTTACTCTATAGTTTCTTGTTGGCCTTATATTATTTGACAACTGATTCACTATTGTATGGTAATTCATACTTAGACGAGCTAACTGATCTGTAATCACACAATTTAATAAAGTTTAGAAAAAACTTTAAGCAACTTATGATTATACATATATATAATAAACAAATAAATATTTAAATGTTGTCATCTTGTGAGCGCTGAAGGTGACAACACTGTTGCCGAAATATATTTATACACAGAGTTTATCTTTTTATGGTTGAGGGTTTAAATATTTATTCATTTACTATATTTAATTAAGTTTCTTTATAAAATAATTAAAGTATTAAATTACACATGTGCTTACTAAGAAAAATCCATAAGTTTGGATGCGCCACTGATAATTTTAGTCTCAAACTATTGTGAAAACTTTCCACATTGTTATTAGTGCGCCTTGATAGTCCATGGACAGAAAAAACGTGAACACCAACTTGTCCTATCCAATAACTGCAAGATAAATGATTTAGGCTTAGAGAATAATTGTCTATTATATAATACTTAGTAGTAAGTACAGTTAGCCATTCATAATAGAGTTTGGTTACAATGGCTTTGCGTGGGTGGGTGTGGGAGGCACAAATGTGTAAGGTAAGTGTCCTAATTGCTACACTAACTCTTCAAGAATGTTCAAGTTTTTCTACAGAGTTTTGGAAATTTAAAAAAAGAAGTCCTGGAACATTCCTGAAGTAATTTGTAATGGAATAAATAAATGAAGCATCAATTAAAGTGAAAACAAAATTAAATAAAAAGCAGAGTTGTCTTTCCCTGAATTAAATACAACTGTATTGAAAATATGAAAATTTAGTTTAACTTTATAATATATGTATTTAAAGAGGTTCTTTTTTATAAATGAATAAACTTGAATCAATAGCTACAATTGTATCTTGAACCCCCGAACGTTATATTTATTCTTTGGATATATTGTACGCAAGTTACAACCTTAAGAACCAGATCATTGAATTAACTATTTGTACTTGAAAATTCTATATTAAAATCAATCGACAATGGTATACATTGTAGCCTTCAGCAACTAGCAAACTCAGTTAGCTATGATCAAATTTAAAAAATTGTCATATTGCTTAGGCCCAGGCAAAGCCGGAGAACACATCTGGTTTATATAAACAAAAGATGACAGTGTACTATAACTAAATACTCATTACTACAGCCATTTACTGTAATATGAGGAGAGTCGACCAGTTTCAGAAAGTTGTATGTCCAAACAAACAAAGTTTTTGGAAATAATAAAAAAATGATTAATTTATAATTTATGTAGGTATTAAATTTGGTTTTCAGGAATAGTAGATTACATAGACAGAGAATAATTGAAAAAATGTAAAAAATACCTAATGATGAATTTACCCTCTTTGCAAATTATATATTAAATATAATTCATCAATGGTCTAGTAATAAGGATAAGTTAATATTTTAACATAAAAAATGATTAGTTATTATGTAACAATTTTCTTTCCAACAAATTTAATTGACATTAAAACTCGAATATAAGATAAAATAAATAGCATGAATGTGAAACCCTTGTAATTCAGATACTATTTCTTTAAAAAAAACATCAAAAGTAAAATTTTACCTTCGGTAATAACTAAATAAACTAGTCATAGGAACTTGATGATTAATGGCAAATAACCGAATGACTTCATACGCTCTCTCTATATCAGCAGCAGGTAGTAATGGCAAAGCAAACAACATTCTCAAAGCTTTTAATGCTTGACCATTAGTATTTATTAAATGGAGAAATCCTTTTTTTTTCATATTTTTCCATACCGCCTGTAAAAATAGAAAATAGTAATTACTTCAATCATACTATTACTATCTACTTATCTATTATTACTGTTGCTATTATTTATAATTTATTTTATTTTTATATTTAAAACATATCGAGGTCTAATTACAATCATACGCCTATTAGGTACTTATGAAATAAACAATAAGCAAATTATGTATTTAATAATATGGAATCTGTTAATAATGAAGGATGTTATCCAAGATAATTTAGTATTACCTTTACCGAAACAGAATTTAACTTTATAATAATAAAAAACGATTAACTCTGCCAAACATCTTTGCAAAATCACTGTATATGACATCATGAAAGAAGCTAAGAATATTGTGGGAAAAATTGAGCAGGTTAATATTTGTTGAGCGATTTTCACGGAAACAATGTTTGATATAGACTAATTTTTTTTTTTTAAATACAGGGTTATTTTCTTAGACGGCAAATCTTTAAAAGTTTTCAGTAAAATTTGAATAATAAAATTGGCACAATAATCACATCAGTTAAACAGTTTTATTTAAATATAAAATGTTTACTGAATAACATCATGATATTTATCTATACTACTACATACAGTTATTACTTATTATTAATATCTCAAATTATTACTAAATAAATATGGTAGCATATTATTATTTGAAGTCAGGGGATATGAAGTGAAATAATTCTGCAAATATAGCATGCAAAATCAATTAGCAAATTCTACACTTCGACTAGTAAAAGTGTAGAATTATATGAAATAATAAATTAAAACTGATAAATATATTTTTAGCTAACCTAAACAAAGAGAATGGCTCTACCGGACATTCGTATAGAGATGATCAAGATGTAAAAAATACTTATTTATCAAATAACCTACTTGATTGTGGTGGAACCAGCAACCAGCAACTCTTGCTTGGGGAAATAATGATATTAATGTATCTCGAAGGGCTGTCCCAAAATCAGTTATTATAACAGATGGGTTTAAATTTGGGACAATATTCGATTTCACAAAATTTAAAACACTAATGTAGGCATTCCTTGATTTTGATTCCATTAAACAATATACAACAGGTATGGACTAAACAAATATATACATAAAATTACAATTAAACACAACATAAAAAATATTTAAGATTCCAGGAATCTTATGTGTATGAGTGGCTAAACAATTTGTTTTCTATATAAGTTATTAACCAAAAAAATAGTTGTCATAGGTACTTTCTATTTCTGCAATTAGAAAAATTGTATTCATTTTTATTTTTGTATAAATATATTCTTTTCTTAACTAATAATTATACGTAATCCACAAAAAATATAAACATGTGAAATATTAAAATAACTTACATGGTTTTGAATCATACAGTGAATAGTTAATAATTGTTTACCCATGTTTGGGGATACAATTTTGAATGTAGCATCAACGTGTATTTCTTCAACATTCGCTACTAATTGAATTAAACCAGTGCAAGCAAATATTAGACTTTGGTGACCGTCAATACATAGCACACAGCCCTTAAATATGCTTTCATTACAGCATGAATATCGTGGAAGTGTTCCATTTTCAAAAAGAACTGCCAGTTCAGTACAAGAAGTTGGTAATTTCGGAAGAGAGTGCCTTCTCGCTATACGCATTATAGATTCAGCTGTTGCCCAAGAATAGAGACTGCTAGCTTCAGGATTCCTTAAAAAATAAAAAATTGTATATAAGTTTTACAAATATATGAAAATAAACCAAGTAGACAATATCGATTAAGATACCTTTCTGATTCTTGATCATATATTAATTTTAATAAACCATTTTCTTTACTGGCTCGCGTTTTTAGAATCAATCTAAAAGATTTAATTAACATCTCATTATTGTCTCTTATTTCATGTCCATTATGGGGTTTGATGATAATTAATGTCCCATCAGTCGATTTTTTCAATGAACCCTTGCAGAAGTTGAGTCCTCGTTTGGCACATTGATAGTAACTACAAATAAACGATTAATTATGTAGGTACAAATATTTAATATTGTATTACTATTTTACAATAATCTACAGGGTAAAACTGGCCCTTAAGTAATCCAAGAGCAGTGTGTTTTATTATTGTCCCTGTGAATTTCAATTAGGTACTTACGTAACGCCTTTTTTCTTCCCCAAATTGTCATAAATGAAACCTCCATGTTCCATTATATAAAATTGTATTATAATTATAAGGTTGAAAGAAAGCGTCCAGCTGACGGTCGTATGATTTAAAATATACAATTTAAATATAAAAATAATGTATAAAAGTATACCTGTAATTAAAAATTGCAAAGTTTCTACAATAAAATATAAAAATATACATAAAATAAAATTGTATGATTCATACAAAAAATGATGATACACATAACTAATAATTACGTGTAAAAAAAGGGTGTTATTGCAAGTTGTAACACCGTACACGCTTGACATCCTTCTGTCAGTTAAGTGGTGGGTGCGGGCTGTCCAGTGTATGTCGATAACACATACCTTCCCTTCCAATACACTTGCAATATTGGGATTCCAATGTATTTCGCGACTATTATTAGAAACAACGACTTGGAAACATACGATAACAACAACAGTAAAATTAAAAATAATGTACGACCCGTGGCCATCGCCGGAAACTGATATGGTTTATTAGTCTGTAGTCAATACAAACTACGGACTTATTTATGGAAACCCCCTTAATCTAATTTTACCGTACTTTAAAGACGACTAAATCGCAATAATATCCTATCTAAATCCGACAATAGTTATTGAACAAATATTGGAGATCTCCCTTGATGTATCGATTATTATCAAACCGGATTATTTTTAAGAACGTACTGGTCGAAGTAAAACCATGATTTTATGTACATAAATAGAGCCTGTATGTGTATAAGTTAAGGGAATTCGATACCGGCCGTCTTTTTCAGTATAAACACATCATTTTTCTTCCATCGCACAGGCCGAACCGGTTATCCGATAAATAATTTGAAAACAGATTTGAATTCGTCATGAAGTGTACTTGGGATCCTACGAGGCACTTTTTTAATTTTTAATTTTAACCCTTTCCAAATTTGATTTAAATATTTGAAATTTTATAAAATGTTCAATGGTTTCTCATTCATAGTTAGAAAAATATATCAAAAAAGTACCTCGTAGAATCCCAAGTTTACTTCATAACGAATTCAAATCTGTTTTCAGATTACTACTAAGATCACTGGTTCGGCCTGTGCGATAGAAGAATAAAATGTATATTATACTAACTAAAATGGCTTTTACTCATAGACAAAATGATTTAAATTAAAAATATTACCACGAAGCTAATACAAATTAACCGGTAAATTAATTGACACGGTCGAAATTCATTAAAACCACTTTTTTCTTAAATATTATCTATACAAAACAAATGGTCGGTATCGAATCCCCTTAAAAAAGATAAATATTAAAATTTATCCAGCCTTCCTGTGTAAGAATTATACATGTTGACAAATTTTAGTTAACCATCAAGTTTTAGTGAAAAATTGCCTATACAATGAGCTTTAATAAATGCTATAGTATGTAGATGTCCCTTAAAATGTCATGTTTCACGGTTGCAAAAACAGGGGTTAGCAAATGGCAAAATCACTTTCAAATAAAATCTTTGATGGGTTTGGTCCACAGGAATAAAAATTATCGTTGCTTCAGACACAAAAAAACAACACATATCAAAAAATGTCTTCCAGCTATCGCATCAAAGGTAAAATGATGTTGACATTAATAAAATAATCCAAGACTTATTCAATGCCGTTTTGAGGACTTTTTTTAGTTTCAAAACTATTTTAGGCTGTACACTAAGTTTATAAAATGAAAACGTCCTAATTATTAAAATTCTTGAAGAAAGCTCATCGACAAAATCTAGTTCAAGTTCACAATATATTTTTCAAGTAGTTAAAAAAAATTCTTTGTATTGAGAGGTTCTTTTTTGAGAATTGAATATTTGTAATGGAGCCATATAGTACCTACGTTTATATGATAGCGTTAAAACGGCTTGAATTTAAATAGTTTTTAAATTTCTTAAAACGATTTAGTTTAATACCTATTATCCGTTTACATATACATATAAATGTATAATTAATCGATTTAGTGAACATTTTTAATGAAAACTGATAACTAGTATGATATTGATAATAAAAATGCAGAATGAAAAAGCCACGGTCATATGTCAAATTTATAAACCGTTTTACACGTTTAAAACTGTTATAATTTCTTAAACTCCATAGCACAAGCGTTTTAATTTTGAAAATGGTTTGAAGTTTTTAAACCGTTTTAAAGTGTTTACATGACATGAATGCATTTTAATTTCAAATCGATTTTCCTCGCCATCATATAAATGTACTAATAGAGGTTTTAATATTCTAATAAAAAAATAGTGAAGAATCCTTATAACTATTACTATACTAAATTATACACATAATTTTATGATAAATTTTTTTTTTTATATAAATTGTTGATTTGCAGCACCTTAAAGAGTAGTTAATAGGCAGATTACACAGGTATGTAGATAGTCCACAGGCAATTGTTTTGTAAACGACTGCACTCAACAAATAAATGGTTATACTATAAAGTTTACGTCCAAAATAAGGTTGTCTGTACCCCACCAAGGTATGACTTTTAAATAAATATTTACTATGATATTTATTACATTAATTTTATAAATAGCCATTAGTATTGGAATGTAGTTCCGGACCCAGTGATGTCTAATATACTCTGTATTTATTTTTAATCGCTTTTGAATTTATTTTTAAGTAATGGGACGTATCGTTCCAATGGTGTTAGCATGTTGCTGTTTAGTGATTTCAATACTACCTACATAAATTATGTAAAAGTATAAAAATCAGACATTACATTAACATTTAACATTGTTGCTATTCACTTACAATTTTTTTGGACAATTGTTTAATTATAGTGAATTTTCCAAAACGGTATTTTATGGACAAACAATAATATTTTGTAAGGGACATTTCTTTGATGACCTCAAAACCTAAAAGAAGATGTCTTGAATAGTACAAAAAAATAGAAAATAGTTATAATAATATGAGAAACTTTATGAGTCTTTTAACAAATTTCATAACATCTATTCTGAAAAACGAGTTTTTTACAATAAATGTAAAATTTAAACTTAACAAAACACATTTAAAGTGAACAAAATGAGTTAAATATGGAAAGCCCAAAGAATGATATAATAATCAGTATTTTAGCATTTATGGGCATTAGTAAACAACGCATGAAAGCAGAAATAAAAGTAAAAAATAGTTCAATTTATTTTAAATATTTGGTGCAGTATACAATTACCTTAATATTAAATTAAGAATTTTCCAGAAAGTTCCAAAAAATTAAGCCCCGGGTACCGGCGTCGTAAAAATTATAGGCACAGCCGTTGCAGCACCGTCCCCTCTCTTCTATCCTCGTGTCAAAGGGTCCGTCGCCGTTAAGTCGCAAAACGGAAAAACGACCACAGTAATCAAAATAGTTGAAATAATTATATCTGTTAGTCGAAAAAAATCTATATTTTTTTGGAGGGGGCTAAAAATATTTGTACCGTAGCCCGTGTTCTCAAATTACGTCACTGATAAGTCCCTCACGACTTATGTAGCCCTCTCCAACATTTTCACACTGTGCAGTTTTTTAGGCCATACATTAATGGGTAATAACCCATTAATAATATTGTAATATGTTACTAAGTCCAGCCATGTTTACGTCATGACCGATTTCTCCTTGAATACTAATATGTGTACGACCGAAAGGAGTTATTCTATACTTTGTATATAACCAAAATGTAAACAACGTCATAAATTGTAAAATCCAAATTATAAATTGTAAAAGCCAATTTATTTATGCAAATTATATATTTTGTACAACTGAAAGATTGTAAAAACGCACAAACAAACACATAAATTGTATCTATCCGACAATGTTAGGCACTTAGCAGAAGACAACTTGGCCATTCACCAACAACCCGGATTAACGCTTGCACAACTGAGAAAAGGTCACCGAGGCGGGGATTCGAAGGACTCCTTCCACCGAACCGGATGGACATTTTGCGTAAATACCAGCCGTTTCACCACAGCACCTTAGAAGTGTTCTTGGCCGCGTATTATGACAATACCTGCAACAAGCACTTATTTTATTATCTGTGTATCAACTTAAATGCTTATATTGGAATACATATATTACCTATTTTATTGAAAGTATTAACTTTATTTACGAAACATCCATCTTCCTTCTTCAACCACTTGTGTGTTAAAGTATCCAAAGGCCACAGACTGCTGGAACTTTACAATATATTAATCATAAACATAATGTATATCGACTGTGATTAATCAAAACTTGATAAAACGAAAATTTTTTTTTCTGTGATAATAATTTCTAAAATTTACACGCTCCATGCTTTTAGTTTCTCTAATCGAACTTTATTGTATTCTACCTTCCACCATAAGTATTTTCGGTGTAAAAAAAATTATGGAATTTTAATTTCTTGTTTTATATTCAGGGGTTCGGAACTAATTCCGGAACATGTTCCTTCATGACTCCCTGTTGTAATCGTTCCGGAACAAATACCCGGAACTCGTTCCTCAAGATATTCGTTCCGGAGCAAATACTCGGAACTCGTTCCTCGAGATATTCGTTCCGGAGCAAATACCCGGAACTCGTTCCTCAAGATATTCGTTCCGGAACAAATACCCGGAACTCGTTCCTTGAGATATTCGTTCCGGAGCAAATACTCGGAACTCGTTCCTCGAGATATTCGTTCCGGAACAAATACCCGGAACTCGTTCCTTGAGATATTTGTTCCGGAGCAAATACTCGGAACTCGTTCCTTTGATATTTGTTCCGGAGAAAATAAAATGTAATTGTTCCTTGTCATTATTAATAATTTATTAATGGAGCAAAATGTATTTGTTCTACGTATTATGTTGTTTCGTTCGAGTTTATTGAAGGTGCACATTTTTTTTGTTACTTTATTCTTTGTGTGTGGTATTTTAGAAACAATAGACACATTAATGTAAGTTAAATATTAATTAATTTAAGTTAAATGTTAATTAATTTACCAAAAGATTATAGTTAATGCATTTAATATAACAATCAATGTTATTTTCAGTGTACATAAATGTATATAGTATATACATGGTGAAAGTTAACAGAGCTATTATAATATATTTTTACATACTGAGAAAAATGTATGCAACTAATCCATCAAAACCATCAGTTCTTTAATCATAAATTAAACTTGCAAAGTTAAAAAACACTTAATTTATATTAATTTAATATTTTTTTGGCTAATTATTTATGATTAATTTTCAGTGTATTTTTTTTACACAGCATATACAGGGTGATTCTTTTATCGTGAACCACTCAATATCTCATAGGGTTTAATAGGAAATTAAAATTTTTTTTTTTTCATATTGTTGTTATACAATGTGATCTCAATTTTTCACAATTTTTTTTGTTTTTACCCCCCTCTCAACTTGTGATGAAGCTTCAAGTTTAGGACAGGAGGAAAGGAGGAATGTAAGATTATTTTTATCTGGGCGCATTTCCAAACCGCACTTTCCCTTCCATCCTAACTTAAACCTCTTATAACTTTTAAAATAGTTATCCTAATCTGGTTATCGACCAGTCAAAATGTTTAGTACATTATTCTCAATTTAAAAAGTTAATAAAATATATACGTTACCATTTAAGTTTCAAAAGTTGCTATCAAAAAAACTTAGTTGAGAGGGGGGTAAAAACAAAAATAATTGTGAAAAATTGAGATCACATTGTATAAAAACAATATGAAAAAATAAATTTTAATTTCTTATTAAACCCTATGAGATACTGAGTGGTTCATGATAAAATAATCATCCTGTATTACTCTAAGGATAAAAACTATTAGCTAGTTAAAAAGACCTAATAAATAATTAAAATATTCAATAAGGATTGAATAATAAATGTATAAATAATAACTGGATTCATAAATAAAATAAATTAACTACTGTTATAACTTATAACCTATAAACAGTAAGTTGTGAAAATTTGCATAGTAATAACATAACAGATTTGAATGTAGATCGACTTATATGGTTAATAACAATATTAATGCATTTACACAACGTTATTATTTACTGATATAGTACCTAAATATTATCTTAATGGTGTATCTACATATACATTTGAAAATAACTTGCTATAGACATGCAGTAGAAAAGAAGCGTTCGGCCAATGTAGCCATTATATAATAGATTAGGATAACTATATTAAAAGTTATAAGAGGTTTAAGTTAGGAAAAAAATAAACTTAAATACCTACGCATTAATATTGCGTTTAATTTATGATTAAAGAACTGATGGTTTTGATGGATTAGTTGCATACATTTTTCTCAGTATGTAAAAATATATTATAATAGCTCTGTTAACTTTCACCATGTATATACTATATACATTTATGTACACTGAAAATAACATTGATTGTTATATTAAATGCATTAACTATAATCTTTTGGTAAATTAATTAACATTTAACTTAAATTAATTAATATTTAACTTACATTAATGTGTCATTTAACTTAAATTAATTAATATTTAACTTACATTAATGTGTCATTTAACTTAAATTAATTAATATTTAACTTACATTAATGTGTCTATTGTTTCTAAAATACCACACACAAAGAATAAAGTAACAAAAAAAATGTGCACCTTCAATAAACTCGAACGAAACAACATAATACGTAGAACAAATACATTTTGCTCCATTAATAAATTATTAATAATGACAAGGAACAATTACATTTTATTTTCTCCGGAACAAATATCAAAGGAACGAGTTCCGAGTATTTGCTCCGGAACAAATATCTCAAGGAACGAGTTCCGGGTATTTGTTCCGGAACGAATATCTCGAGGAACGAGTTCCGAGTATTTGCTCCGGAACGAATATCTCAAGGAACGAGTTCCGGGTATTTGTTCCGGAACGAATATCTCAAGGAACGAGTTCCGGGTATTTGTTCCGGAACGAATATCTTGAGGAACGAGTTCCGGGTATTTGCTCCGGAACGAATATCTCGAGGAACGAGTTCCGAGTATTTGCTCCGGAACGAATATCTTGAGGAACGAGTTCCGGGTATTTGTTCCGGAACATAAAAGAGAAATGAGTCAAATAGGAACGAATTCCGAACCCCTGATTTTCTGTAATAGTATTTCTATAACTTTATATTCTGCAATTTTTAAATTCAGTCAATACTACTTTCTGGATTTCTATCGTTCCGGCCGATTTTATTCTGGTAATTTGTGGGTTCCCGAGATTGCAGAATAAAAATTATCCCTCCAAAAAAATGGAATATTATTTGTTAGGGCTGGTAACACTGGTCCAGCGGTGTACAACATTATTTATAAGAAGAGTCGTTTTTTGAACTGCCGTTGATTGTTGTTGAGTGTCGTTTTTTTTTTTTTTTGTTAATAATGTATTATATTAACTTAATAATTAATTCACGAAATTGGATTGGTCTTTTAAAACAAGTTTATTTTATTGTAATATATTATTTATACAATTGTCAATTCATGCGGTTAAGCAGATAGTGGACATGTGTGAGATTATCAATAAAATATATTATATTATAATGCAATAATGTATCATTTATTTTTCAAGTGATATTTTTGGATTATTCATTATAATTTCCATAAGAAACATTTGCAGGATCAATAAAATATCAACACAACGACGAATTGAGCAGAAAACGTGAAAAATGTATTTCACCGAAAACGAAACTGTTTTTGGTGTCAATTAAAAATATTGTCTTAGTTGAGTTTAGAATGCGGAAGAATGGAAATGGCCATTATTATAACAGCTGGAATAAACATAAACGGTCAGAATGTAATTTCTCTCCTTTTTGAGGGCTTCCATAGTAAAAAAAAAAAAATAGTCTTGACACAGTAACATAAGACAGTAGTTATATAATATTAAAAAAAAATCAAATGGCCATATTTTTAAGATGTGTATTATGTTATTGTAATGTTTGAAGTAGTAAAAACCATAAAAACGAGAAAACTTCAATACCACCGATATGTATTGCAATAAATAATCCAGGGTAAAATAGTTGGGAGAAGGAGCTGTGGAAGACCTCAAATGTCTTGGACGGACAACCTCAGAAGATGGTCCAACACATCTACGAATTCACTATTCAGTGCAGCCATCAATAAACTTAAGCTCACAGTAGAAAGTATTGTAAGTATTGTATAAATATTATCAATATAAATAACCTAATGCATATATTATGCACTTACATGCAGTGAAGGGTTAATATCAATATACTGAACGATATTTTATGGGGAATGAAGAGACTCTGAAAGACTACTTAAGAAATACTGGGACTTAAACTCACCAACGTACTCGTCCATGTTGAAAGTCTTGACGTACTTGAAAGAAACTTCACCGGCCCTGTAGTACTTGATCAGGTACTTGTACATCCCTAGCGGAGTTCCACCTGAAGTCGGTCTGAAGTTAATTGATTTGCTTGTAAATAAGAAAGTGCGTTATTATATACTTACCCGTAGGAAGACCCAAGACAAAGTATCGGTCGGGCCCCGGGTTGAAG